ACAACAGAAGAAGAGTTTCAGAGGTTTACTTCTAAGGACTAAACAATAATTCGTGATTATTTTTAGACACAAACTGTATGTGAAGCGATGGATGAACAAGACTGTGAGTTATCTAATTTACCATTTTATTACTTATCAGATACTGAATTTAATGCTCTCACTGGTAATTGGCATGTTGTCTTTAGCAGTGATTCTGATATATATAATGTCCTACAAAATCCTGACAAATTTGATGAAAATGATTCAGACCTTATGTTAAATACCCCTAATTCAAATTATTACTCTATGACTAAACTTAACCAGCTTTTAAATAAGTCAGGTCATGATAGTATATCATTTCACTTTAATGTCAGAAGTCTCCCTAAAAACGTATCTATATTGAATGATTTCCTCTACACTCTTGATAGCAGGCCTGATATCCTAGCTATAACGGAAACTAAATTAAACCATAATAATGTGGTTAATATTGATTTACTTAATTATAACTTCTTTCATACTGACTCACCAACCATGGCTGGTGGTGCCGGTTTATATATCAACAAAGATTTGCAATGTATACATAGACCTGATATAAAATTTTCTATGCCGCTTGTTGAATCATGCTGGTCTGAGATTGCCGCTGGCAGAAATAGATCTACTATTATGGTTGGATGTATTTATCGACATCCGTCAGCTAATCTTCAAGAGTTTACTTCTGAATTAAAAAGCATAATTAAGCAATTAAAGAATAATAAACATGAAGTGTTTATATTGGGGGACATGAATGTGGATTTCCTTAAATACAGTATACATGCTCATACGGAAGAATATTTAGATATGCTTTACTTAGATAATTTTATTCCTATTATAACAAAACCTACTCGCATCACTGAACACTCCTCTACATTAATCGACCATATTCACACTAATGCATCGACTCAAAACATTGTCTCTGGTATTGCTCTGGTAGACATATCTGATCACCTACCTACCTTTTCTCTGTATAACACATCAGTTAGTAGAATTAAAAAGACTATTTACCTAAGGGACTACAATCAATTTAATAAGACAAAATATGTAAATGATTTAAATACAGTAAATTGGTCTGAAATATTTAACAACAATCAAAACTTGCATGAAATGACTAATGAATGTATTAACACCATTACTCAAATAATTGAGAGGCATGCACCAACTAAACAAGCCTCGCGTAATAAGATGAAACAATTATCAAAACCTTGGCTTTCAAAAGGTCTCATTAAATCTATTAAAGTAAAACAAAAGCTTTACCGCTCACACTTTTTAAGTAGAGATCCATTGAGAGTTTCTATATATAAGTCCTATTCCAATGTATTGAATAAATTAAAAACTAAAACTAAAAATGAATATTATAATCAGCAGTTCCATCAATGTAAAAACAATCTAAAAAGCACTTGGAAATTGATAGGCACATTGATTAATAGGAAAAATAAAGGTCATACTTGTCCAACTAGAATTGTTAGAAATGAAAAAACATATATTAATCAGTTCAACATTGCTGAGCAATTTAATCAGCATTTTGTAAATGTGGGTCCCAAATTGGCTAATTCAATCCCAAATTCTAATGATGATCCCACCAAATACGTAACTAACTCACCAATTTCAAGTTTTTGCATGTCACCTGTCTCTGAGGAATACGTTTGTCGACTTTTCTTGGAACTAAATGTGAATAAGTCTTCTCCAGATATTCCTAACAAAATGATAAAGCTGGCTAGTAGTTCTCTATCAGTGCCTTTTGCTCATATTTTTAACCAATCCATTTCTACTGGAATTTTTCCCAATGCTTTCAAAATATCTAGAGTACAGTGGCGTAGCCAGCCTGACAATTTAGTCCCGCTATGCAAATTCAAAATTATTATCATTATTCATTTCTTTAGAAATTGATTGTTTTCACAGTCAATGAACACAAAAATATTTGCATAGCGGGACTAAATCGTCGGGTTGGCTACGCCACTGCTAGAGTAACGCCAGTCTATAAGAGTGGGATAACGACAGACCCAAATAATTATAGGCCAATAGCTTTGCTATCACCCTTTAGTAAAACGCTTGAGCGAATTGTGTATGATCAGCTTATGACTTTTTTAGAGAAATATAACATACTCAACAAGTATCAGTTCGGCTTTAGAAAAGGACACTCAACGGAACAAGCTATTTTAGAAATAACTGAGAACCTGAAAACTTCCATTGATAATAATCTTATTACATGCGGGGTTTTCATTGACTTTTCTAAAGCTTTCGATACGGTCAACCATGAAATATTATTAGCTAAATTATTTAAATATGGAATACGTGGTCATTCACTTGAATGGTTTAACAGCTACTTAACAAATAGACTTCAATTTGTACAAATAGATAACGTACAATCTAGCACTTTAACGATGACATGTGGAGTTCCTCAAGGATCTACATTGGGGCCTTTATTATTTTTAATTTATATTAATGATATAGTTAATTGTTCATCAGTACTTTCTTTTCGTCTATTTGCTGATGATACTAACATATTTTATGTAAATAAAGACCCCACTGAACTTGAAATAGTAATAAATCGTGAGCTAAAAAAATTCTACGACTACTGTGCTCTCAATAAATTATCTATTAATATGAACAAGACCAATTTTATGGTGATAACTTCAAGTAACAAAAAGCACATTAATATCAACATTCCTAATATCGAACGTAAAAACTGTATTAAGTATCTTGGTATATATCTCGATTAACATCTCAATTGGAAAAGCCAAATTGCTCATGTTAATAGTAAATTAGCCAAAAATATTGGCATTTTTTATAAATTACGTCATTTATCTAACATTTACACATTAAAGCAACTTTACTATAACCTTATTTACCCTTATTTAACTTATGGTGTTATGAGCTGGGGTAGCACGTATACAACTAATTTAACCAAGATTCGTACTAAACAAAATAAATGTATACGTAGTATTTTCTTCACAACTCATATGGAGTCAGCAACTACTTACTATAAACTTCTTGGAATACTCAATTTTGACAATATTGTGAAATTTAAAATTACTACATTTGCAAAAAAACTGTCAAGTGATTCATTGAAATTTCCATACATATTTCATGATTACCTTACACGAATATCTGATATTCACAGCTATAATACTAGACTGTCTGCCAGTGGCAATTTCTATCGGCCAAAAGTAAGAACTAATTATGGTCAATCCACCATCAAATTTATTATCTCGAAGCTGTGGAATTGTATTCCACCTTATTTAAAACATTTAAATATTGAAGCCTTTAAAATACAGTACAAACAGTCCCTCCTATCCTGCCTGATATAGTCTTAACCTACTTGTCAAATTATGAATTAGAAGCTAAATATTGATATGATTACTTTACCATAACGATCTTCTACTTTTTATTATATTCCATGTAAAATTATTAACACGCAGTAGCCAAGCTCACGCACTAGCTCGAAAGCTCACGCTACTTTGGCTACTGCGCACATCCAATCTAAGTCTATAATAACATAAATATGTAATAATTCTTCAGTTCTATAATTTCAACAGATAACTTGTAAATATACTAATATCATGTGCATAATAAATCTTTCTTTCTTTCTTTCTTTCAGGAGGCGAAATTTCGCAAGTGGTCCACGGGAGTGGGGAGTGGTCCACAAGTGTAGTCCATGGACCAGGTCCACGAAGGTAGTCCATGGACCTGGGGTCCGCATTTTGTCGTTTCCCTAATTTTCATGTTTTGGCTAATAATGGCTGATCGCATTATTAATCCGCACCCCCCCCCCCTATTGAGGACATATACTTTTTTTCCCTCTCCCCTGGAATTTCCGCACATTTTTCAATGATTTTTCACCCATGGCATGGAAATTCCTTGGTGTATTTTAGCTAAACCATTGGATTTTTCAAAAATATTAGCCATCCCTTGGAAATTCCATCTTGATTTTTTTAGCAGACCTGTGGAATTTCTTCATATATTTTCTGTAGTTTTGGCCACCCTTTGGAAAATCCCTGTCGATATTTGAACCTCCCCCTGGGAATTTCCTTAGGTATTCCTTACATTTTGAGCCATCCCATGGAAAATCTGTGTTGTTTTTTTAACTCACCCTGTGGAATTTCCTTAGATATTTCCAACATTTTAGTCATGCTGTATGGAATGTTCTTGTAGACGGTAGTCATTGTAACCAATATATAATCCTATTGGCTTACAACCATAGGCATACGCGGCTGATGCCTTCCGGGGGCAGTTGAAAGTTTGCCCGAATTTTCATGGATGATTGTAACGAAATGACCTGAATTTAACATTTTCTGATAAATCTGCCCAAGTTTTCTTGATTTTTCTAGCATTTGTGCGGATTTCCATGGTTTTCCATAGTTTTAGGAGGCAGTTGCCCCTCCCTCTTCTCCCCTGTCTTGTACGCCTAGGTTTACAACGTGAGGGGCCAGAGGGGGGTCGGCTGCACACATACTCTATGGCTAAATTTTCATATGTTAACCGGTGATAGACAGTACACTGCATTATTATGAATTTGCAGTTATTTTTCAGTTACTAAAGTGAATAATAAAATCGTACGTTATGAACCTGTTTTTTAAAAGATGGTATATAACAACTCAGCCTAGCAGTAGTAGCGGATCTTGACTAAAAGTTCACGAGTGACCACGAATGACCACGAGTGATCACAACTGTGCATTAAAAAACCCCCAAAATAACATAAAAGTACATCTTTTTATATTTATTGCAGACGTGCTTTCATTCTACTGTCTATAACGTTAACTATAGCACAAAAACTATCGTTCAAAATCGTTTTTATTTGTAAACGTTATACAAAATATTAGTGACATCCAATTTTAGACAATATAAGATCTAAGATAATACAACTGGTTTCAAATCTCGCATAATGAGCCAGACGTCCTCATTCCAAGAAACCGTACGTTTTATGTCTTTTCGTATTTTTGGCGGGGAAAATGACGTCACAATTTGGCGCGAAAATTTTGTTTCAGTATCATGGTAAATTTGTTTATGGTTTCTTAAATGCAACATTATATTATCTCCAAAGTTACAAAGAGAATTGAAATATCTTCATTGGATCAGAAGTTATAACGTTTTGAAATTTGAATCTTCAGCGTTTTGCCAGGCAGTTTTTAGTGACAAATTAAAATGGTGTTTTATTAAAAAAACACATGATTTCTTAGAGAATGGGAAAATCTGGTATGGTGTGAGATCAAGAGATGTGGGACCAGTATGGTGGCCGAGAACTGCCATTTCGTTTTAAAAAATAAAAATAAAAATAAAATAATAAAAAATATAAAATATTTCTACATTTTTCCTTAATATTAAAATATTTTAAAAATTATTTAAGAATATCAGTTCTGAAAACAAAAAATAAATAAATTTACTTAATACTGCAAAGTCATTTTAAAAAAACTTTTCATATTCACATGGCCGAGAACTGCCAAATTGCCAAAACGTCTGTGCACAGAATTGTCCCTCATATCCAATGTATTACCCGATTAACCATGATTATCCCATACTTCAAAGATGGCAGAAGTTCACAAATGGCGAAAATTTGCAAATGACATAAAAGCAAAAAGAACGAGAGGCACAACAACTAATCCTAAAGGAAAAGACAGCGGTGGTTCCTCTGACTTTACCATTTTAGAAAAAAAAGAGCTCTTAGTGCAGCTCTTAGCAACAGAGGCTACAGGCAAAGCGAAAAAGTCCGAACGAACTGGGCCCCAAGAGTTTGTCTCTTATCCCTATGAAGAATTAACAATCCCCAACATCATAAAGGCTTGTAACAAGCATTTTCAAAAAAGGCTTAAAGGAAAGTCTGTAGATGTTCTAGCGAGTGAACGCGGTCCTGTGAAGTTTCAACCTTTGACATTGATAAGATGGTTTGGTCAGCTCCAAAGTTTATTCCTTTTACCATAGAAAATGAGGAATTTGCTAAAAGGGTATTCCGTTCCGCCCATAAAGGAACCTCAAATTCTCCAGATTTCCAAGGAAAAGCATATGTTGTCAAATATTTCTTACAAAGCACTAAAGATGTTATAAGTGAGCTTGGTGAAACAGAATTGGAACATGCTAGAAAATCTGTGCAAATGCAGGCATTGGCTAAACGTTTTGCTGAACAATTTGATGCTAATGTAAAGAAGGAAGGAAATGAAGATGTGTTTGGAAAGACCTTTAGGTACTGTATATTATTAGTATAGGTAATCCTGTGATGGCAAGTACAATTAGGGATTACTACGATGAGTGATGTTAGGAAATTTTGCCAAAGTTGGATGAGCCGCCATTATTTGTTTATTATTAGCATGACAAAATTGCATCTACCATCCCCTCAATGTCAAGTTAAAATAATAATCTCTCGTCAAAGTACAGTCCTGTCAGACTTTGAACTAAAATTTGTTTGTGTTTTTATATAATGCTTTTGCTTTAAGTTCCCCTATGGCAATTCCATTTGTGTGAATTGTGTTGGTTCAATATGTTTCTGCCAATTTGTTTTGAGAAATAATTGTACTCCTCTCAACCAATCAGCATCCAGTAATTTTGTCATGCTAATAATAAATCAGGAAATAAAAGCTATAACAACAAAAGGCATGAATGTTACATGCTAAATTAAACTAACTTATCAAATTTCATTAAGATATGTCAACACTTTCCTGGGAATCATCAATGATTCACAGAAGGTTGTCACAATCGAAGAATATGTGACAGGCAATTTTGAGAAGTATGTAAACAATGATGGTGTTCTTTGTGTGAAAAAGAATGAAGACCAGCAAAAGAAGGCAGAGAGTCTTGTCCACTTTTCTTACATCAAATCCAGTAAGAAATTGATGCTTGTGGATATCCAAGGAGCAGGCTACAACCTTACGGATCCTGAGATTGTTTCACTTACTGGAGCTTTTAATGATGAGAACAATTTCCTATTTTGTGCTGGTAACTATTCAAAAGAGGCTTTTACCAACTTTTTCAAGGCACATAAGTGCAATGCTTTTTGCAATTTGTTAAAGCTCACACCTGAATTGTGTGAATAAACAGTTACTCATAGCTTTTAGTTATTTATATATAAACATTTTTTGCATAACTTTGGCATTAGTTTAAATGTTGTTGTTTTGTTCATGCACATAGACTATGGTACATGTGGAACAGTTTGCTGCACTCATTGTGTATGAGTCTAGCTCAATTGCCATGCTTTGCACTGCTTTATTTACAGGTTTCATTAATTTTTGGGCATATGGTTTTTGGGCATAGGTTTCATTAATTTTTGTACATATTATACTGTATTTATTATGTATTTATACATATTATATTTGTACATACCATATTGTACAATTTTTTCTTCTTTAATAATAAAGTAAATATTTTAATAATACATTAAAATAAATCATTAAGGAAACATGATCAGGCTTTGCATTGTGAGCTGTAGAGGCTCCAATGTATGTATGTATGTGCAGAGTGGACTGTATCGCATTGGGCTATTACATTAAAAACCGTACCCCGCCTCTGTTGAGGACCTCTGTTTATCAAGATTTTACCCCACTGGAAAGCTTTCAAACCCCTCTGGAATTGCATTTTTAGGCCTTTGCCCCTCTGGGAAACAGCATTTTTCTATGATTACGCCTCTGGAAAATTGAGGTCCTCGACAGGGGGGGGGGGGGGTATGGTTTTTTAATGTAATAGCCCATTATGAAATTATGATTATAATATTTCCTTTAAATGTCTGGATTGTTATTTGCAGTCTTTTCAAAATATCTTTGTTTCAGCAAGAGATAAGTTTGAACAAATTCATTGCACTTGATAGCTTCGGGATTTGGCATCAACTCATTCAGATCTTTTCGAAATGATGATGGGATGAAATCATCAGGAGCATCTAAGATTCCAGATAACTCTGCAACTTCTTCAAGATCTTCCTGAGATACAAGGAAGCCTAATTTTTAAAATTAAGCAGAGTTAAAATATTTGCATTAATGATGAAATTGATTTAATATATCAATTGCTGGATAAGAAACCTTTCTTTTCCATTCCATATCTGCTTGGAAACTCATAGATGTGATTTGGCACTCCATCTGCCATTAATGTATCTTTTTGAGTGCGGATCCGATGACTATTCCACACCGTGTCTCTGAACTCATCCAATTCTCTTTGCATGACTGGGATCATGATGAAAGCAAGGATGAACCTAAAATAATATATGACAGATATTGACAATGGTTTGTTTTATTTTTATCAATATTGAAATTATATCTTTCATAACCCATTAAAGAGCAATGCGCCCAAATGCCCTACTTTTGTATTTACTCTGTATAACGTAAAATAATAAAATACAATACAATAAAAATAAAATACCTGTGTATTTCCTCACCAGGGTCATAGTGACATTCCTCCTTCAACCAACATAAACCAGACTTAAAATACTTTTCTAACCTATCATGAAGTTCCCTCCACCATCATTCAATCTGAAAAAAAAAGTCAAAAATATATAAATTTTCCATTTTTTTGTGAAAATTATTTAGTAATTGAATGAGATTTAACCTGGTTTGATGGTGAGGGTCCAAATATAATTGACTCTGTAGGATCATCCAAATCGCCTTGTTTACTTCGAAGATATGCGTGTACGGTACTCATTGTGGTTGTCTCTGTTCCTTTATCCAAGCGAAGATAATGAGGAATTGTATGACTTTCTAAGAGAGCTTCAATATACCACTTTGCTACCAGAATCGGATTAGAATTTGTATTCCAAATTTGGAGCCACAGCAGCTTACGACTGGCTGTATCAATGCAACCGTAGATGGCCAATGGAAATGTTGAGTTTTGAAAACCCATCAACTTATCATGGCCATCAAGAGAATATGTCCAGTTTGGGCCAAATGTGACGAAGTGACCTTTGGCCTTCGCTTTCTTCGCCCCTGGAGCTCTAGCTGCAAGTCCATCAGGGTCAAGATCGAACATAATATTATGCACTAAATCTCTTGGAACCCTCATATCGTACTTTTGGCGAATCTTATGAGTCATTGCCTGATATCCGAGCAATTTTCCAGGCCCATCAAGTTCTTGGAATATGGCTTGCCTTGCATCTTCGAGTCTAACGTTCACGTCAATATATTTTATCTCGAAATATTTAAGCCGTCGATCAAGAGAACGAAGACTCCATTTGTAGCACGAGTAATCCCTTCTCATGAAGTCTAGAATTTCATCATGTTGTAACCGTTGTTGAACAAGTTTCGTTAAATCGTTTTTCAACTTTAAATCATGTTTCCAAGCCGCCATCTTTGAAGTATGGGATAATCATGGTTAATCGGGTAATACATTGGATATGAGGGACAATTCTGTGCACAGACGTTTTGGCAATTTGGCAGTTCTCGGCCACGTGAATATGAAAAGTTTTTTTAAAATGACTTTGCAGTATTAAGTAAATTTATTTATTTTTTGTTTTCAGAACTGATATTCTTAAATAATTTTTAAAATATTTTAATATTAAGGAAAAATGTAGAAATATTTTATATTTTTTATTATTTTTATTTTTTAAAACGAAATGGCAATTCTCGGCCACCATAGACCAGTTGTATTAAAATTGCCGAAGTTATTTGAAAATTGCCGAAGTTATTTGAAGTTGGTCGATTTTGAATTAGTTTTTGCCCAGCGTGTATATGTTAACTTTGATAACCAAGTTGATATTCAAACTGCTATAGTGAGGTAAGGCGAGACTTTTTTTATTTATTGGTTTACGGATTTGACTTTAAAAATTATGTAAATACAGCACAAGCGAATCTCGTTAAACTGCTGTAAACGTTTTTATATTAGTCTCTTTTACAATATACGAGATAGTGAGTCTCAATAATCTTGAAACGTCATTGTAAGTTTTATGATAATTTATAAGAGTTTTTCTCATGGCGTCCTGTGCCTTTTTCAGGTTGCTTTTAGATAAATCTAGCCTTGCCCTGACACGTCTCAACGTTTTGACATTCTCAGTCGGTTTTCCCACTAATAACTCTTTCACCTCGTTCGACAGCTTGGTATATTCGGCTTTGTACATTTCCACACGTGCGATGTTGTTCTGCAAAGTCCCCTTTTTGACCTTCGCCTTTGTCTTTGAGGAAGTGGATGGAGAACCGTTCCCGGTGTTGTTACCAAGTTCGACATCTGCACGTCTTGTTGAAGCAAATTTTCAGACTTTTGAAGCCGCCAGTCAGTGTGGATTTTCTCGTATATCTTGGCTTTTGGCAGCAGCGTTTTTGATAGCTGTTTAGCTTTTTGATTCCAAAATATTCGCCTCTGTCGCTCTCTTCCAACAGCGTTCTCAATTTTGTCATTTGTGAAGACTTTAACTCCTCTGATCGACCAAGAGGTAGGTGATTTAAGAGCCTGGTTAACGGAAGTTTTATCTCTGTTGCGTTCAAAGCATTCTTGTTGACTCCAATTGTCGCTAAACTTGGTTCCGTCATTTGACACAAAATTTCCGCTTTCAGTTGCAGCTTCTTTATCACTACTATAAGAGCTGATGTCAGAGAATTTTACCGTGAGGTTTCCAACACTATCTCGTGATGTAATGCTATTAATAATTATGAAATGTTCTGCAGATTCTGGAATTTGTTGTGTCGCATCACGTGCAAACAGAAAATGTTCTGGAATTAACTCAGAAACTTGATCTGTTACTGCAGCTCGTAAAGCTTTTAGGGACGATGCCGTGTTCACTCCGAAGAGTGAACATACTGTATTTTCTCTTAAAAAACTCATTAATAATTCATGAAGAAAACACAAAGAAAAATCATAAGCGTGTCGTATCTGTATATGTGATACAGATTCATGTTGATTTACATAAACTTTAACTTTGATTTTCTCGGCTTAGACAACGTTTATTTTTAAAATTACTTCGCCAATGAACTCATAAGATGAGCTGTTTTTTAACAATGAACTCATAAGATGAGCTGTTTTTTGCGTCCGTGTTGTATCAGATATACAAACTCTCGCCTTCGGCTCGAGTTTGTATATCTGATACAACACGGCCGCTCATGTTGTAAACATTACTTTCAACGTCGAAAAGAAGTAAAACTTCCGACATACTTTTAGCAGTTGAAGCAAAATAAACATATATTAATTAAGGGACTCAGGTCATAAAGTAAAGGGGGGGGGCTGGGAAAAGTAGCGGGGTGGGGTCACCTTTTTTCAGCATGGTTAAAAACTGCAGACACTGTTTCGAGTCCATAATTCAATATTAAATAGAAATTTAGAGTTTCAATTTTTCAGAGAGCCATACATCTGAACAGTTGAATACAATTTGAATACAATACCATTGACGGCGGAATCGTGCAGGGGGGGGGAGCAAGGCCTAAAGCCTCCCCCTAAATGTGAAAAAGTAGAAAAAAGACGGGAGCTAAAACCTTCCAAAGATAAGGTTTATTATATATTAAATATTCATAATCCCCGCTATGTGGCTTGAAACAGTTGTTGTAGGAGGTTAAATCAAGGTTTCTGTGTGTCAAATCGCCGTCCTGATTTCAGAGAGTATATACTTCAAAATCTTTTTTGGAGGGAGGGACATGCCGCCTATGCCTTCAGCAATTTGTAATATGCCACAGTATATGTGGGAAGTTCCAAAGAAAGGCCTTTTAATGTTCTTAGTTGCTCAAGAAGACTATTGTATTACAAAACTATTCGGCAACAGGAAAATAAAATGCTGATAGGGTGGGTTGTAATTTTTCAGCAATAATTTAAGGGTGGGCTACACGTTTTTACACGCAGCTATTAAGGGGTGGGCTACAAAAAATGCGGACACCATATACACGATTTTTCCAACACCCCCCCCCCCCTTTACTTTATGACAAATCTCTAATTATAGTGTAACATTCAACAGTAGGTTGACTGGTTGACCTTGCGTGTGACCTCAAACAAAATTTACTACATGGAAATTGTCAACATAATAATTGTGACATTGTTTTGATAGACTATAATTTTAATTCACTTAATAAATAGTACTTTTAATATAATAATTGATGTTTTTATACTCAATACCATGAATACAGTCGATGTGCGTGTTCTGGACGAGCAACGAAAACAAATATCATTTTGCGAACGATTGACGAGAAAATTAGCCTTGTAAGGTTACGGGAATTAATTAACACAATGTTTTCGTGTTTTCACAGAGGAGGAAATTCATGGGACACCATTAATTTCAGTTTTTGAGCATGAAAAGCGAATTTTTCTTGGAATTCATTAGCAGCTAAGCTTGAGAACCACCCCATTTATAAGTCCTGGTCTGTTCAGGAAAAGCACGGCATACTTGACACTGAGTGGACCTTAAAATTTACAGAATTACTAAAGCTGCAAGCAGACAAAAAACTTGTTGGCGAAGCTGGCGATGAGTACGGGCGTAGTATTGCCAAAAATATCGATAAGCTCCAAAAATCGGATTTTGAACGAATGACATGCTACAATAGAATAGAAAGATTAAATAAAGTCACCATAAAAACTGATGAAATCAGAAAAAGTATTGAAAATGAGGAAAACCATTTGCACGAGCTGTTCAGCAAGTTAAAGCTTGCTCAGTCAGACCTAGCCAAATGCCTCAGCCAACCTGCACAAAGAATATCCAGATGTACGATGCCCTTCACGTGCGAATATGTGGACTCGTAAACAACATTTTACATGGTGATAAAATGGCGTATTTCTTGTATTTTGTTTAGATTTTTTAGTTTCCTCCTGTTATAAAGAGTTAAATTTATTATTAGTGGAATGGAAATGGCCTGGATGGAAGAGTAACAAGGCTGAATTGTTAGCAAGCGACATGAGATGACAAAATGGCGCCGAATTTGGACAAAGTGGATTTACCTTGTTGATGGTTAAACAGGTATGATCTACTTGAAACCAAGTTGAAACTTGTTTAAAATGTTCTTGATACCATTATGTCTGAGATGATTTACATTTTTTGTAGGATGTCGACGAGATCGCCGATAAACAGCGGAGTAAAGTGGAGAACTTGGCCAAATACGTCCATTTGCAGGAGGTAGGCACATTTCGAATTATTATTTCGGTCAGAAAATATTAACTATTTTACTCCAAACCAGTGATAATATATTTAAATAAGTACCATTTATGTTTCTATCAAAAAGATTTAGGGAAAAAGGTAATGTAAGTCCACTGCTGTTTATCTGAATTTGCAAGCCACAAATTGACGTTTAACTATGATTATTGCATGGCCATTTTCTTGTGAAATAGTAGTGCTAGGCATTTCACACTTACCAATGACCACCCCCAAAAGTACCATCTCTGAACCATATAAGCACCTCAGAATAGCCAAAGCTTTTATTGTTTTATTAGATAGCAGTATGGCGAAAGCGTCGTTTTTGGGTGTGGTCAGTTTCGGACGTTTCGCCCCTGATTGGGGTTCGGGCAGCGTTACCATGTTGACCGTCATGGTCAACTTACCCTAAAACAGTTGAGATTATCTGTCCTAAATGAAATGCATACAAACTCATATACAGGTCCTCGACTACAATTGTCGAAATATATCAGAATTCAGAATTCTATGCAAACCATCGCAGGTATTGTATTGCGTTTCGTTGCACAGTAAAAACCCGCATAAAAGACCACTATTTTTTATGTGAGGCTGAAGTGGTTCTTATATAATCTTAGCTACTTCACACTATACTTTTTTTTTCTATTCTACACTTTAATAGGGACTGTTGTTGCATAAAACTATGTATTGCTATGAGACCAATATGGTTCTCATTACCTATATCTAAACTAAAAAAAAACTTTTAAAAACTTGTATTTTGAGTGCTTAATTGCCTAAATTTCAAGCTGGTAGTTCTTAATCCACTGGTTCTTTTATGCGGGTTTTTACTGTATATTGTATATAAAAAAGAGATTGATTGAAAAATCTATAATAATTTGTGAAAACAACGGAAAGAGAATAACATGACGAGCCTTAAACTAATCTGGTGTTGGGAGGGGCGCGGGGCTGGCTCACATGCTCCACATCTATTAGCTAGCTCCGTCCCTCCTGGATATGGATTGTTGCATGCCCGTTTGCTTTCATATAATTGTACGCGTACTGCAGCGTGGGGATTTCCCCTTGTCGATAACACGGTAACTGTAACTGATTTAAAGTTTGTCTTCAACTTACATTTATTTTTCATGACAGATTCAACGAGGTAGAAACGAGTTACAGTAAAACTTCTTTGTTTGTTATGTCCTTGTCAGTGGACGTTTCAAATGGAAACAATGCAATGGAATGCTTACGACAGCAGGTTATTCATACCTGTTATCCTGGAAATTGGTCTGGACTGATCCATATGATGGCATTATCATCTGTAATTAAGTGTCCAGTTTTCTCGGTTTACCCGGAATCAAGCTCAGCCATACGTCCTTTTTTTCATGGATTGATACGCCCACGAGATGCAGGGTCAAGCATCTGTAATGATCTTGTACACATTATGTTCACAAGGGATTGTTTGCTTAACAATAGACAGGGTGCAGTTTTTCAACCAAACCACTTTTGTCCTGTGTTTCAAAGTGGCAACAGTGATGGTATCGCTTTTCATGGGAGCGGTGCTAGTTTTCAAACGTCTTCATTTGTCCCAGATGTCCAGTCAACGAAAGAGTTTCCTCCACTAGGTTTCGAAAATAAAGATAAAAAGAACGACATACACTCTTTTTTTTAAATATCCAAAAAAGAAGACTGCGCATAAAAATACATTTTCACAGATAAATGACAAAATTCATGGTAAAGATGAAAATGATTGTGTTTCCACTGGAACGTCCATGTCTAATTTTAAGACCTTATCATTCAGTAAAAAATGTGTCGATGGTAAAAGCCCGTCAATTGAACGTTTTGACACATTACCAGAACTCTCTACAAAATATCTTTCGCAGTTGTGGTACCACAGACAAGGACTAGCATGCTTACACAAAACCAAAAGTAGAGAATGGTATCTTTCCCTTCCAGGACTTTCACGAGATTGGTACAGCAATGCATCAAATAGAAACGAGTCGATACCAACATTGGAGAACTCTGCTGAATTGTTCAAATTCAACAACGGAAACATAATCACCAAATCGAAACCATTTCAAGAGGACGTAGAAGTTCAATTAACCTTAGAAGTTCTATCAGCTCATTGGTACGCCAGACGTGGCCGGCTAGCTGCAAAGAACTGGGGACGATTGTCCAGAAATGAAAGACAAGAAAGTGCCGGTGGATTGAAATACGGCAGTGCCAAGGGTTCAATAGACGAGAACATAAAAAATATTTTAAGTGAGCAATCAAGACAACACGATGCAAGAGAAGATCTGAACAGGGGCGGACATATCGATTTTGACTGGGAGGGTGTAATCACGAAATGAGACCGACTCACCACTGAAATGTAAATCCAGACCGACTCTTGGTGAGTTGGTGTGCTGCAATAAAATTGAGTAGCCTACAAAGAATGGAAATTGATGGCATTTATTAGGAATTTTGCAAGAACACGTACAGTTTGCTGTGAAACGTTATATTTTTATTAAGTGCTCGCGCTTAGTCAGGTTTGACCACGGATTAGCGATTTCGTCAAGATCGATCGTGTCTGTTAGATCGCGCTCACACGTGAAGAGTCAAGAGTTCACCGAGGCGTTCCTGGTTCATTACTGAACGCATAACAGTTTTCACTGATTTCAGCTTTGAACTGAAAGCTTCGCTCGGCTGATGTTACAGGAACTGTCAGGCGCGTAACTGTAGGATTTTTGATTGACCGAGACACTTCTGGGGGTCTTAGAAACGCTATTTCCTGCATTCTGGGAGCAGTTCAAACAAAATTTCATACTGAACAGCGACACAATTGACTATAATTTCATACTGTAGTTTTCCGCCAATCCTGAGGCTAAGAATTACATTTTTGGTCGAACATCATTGATCAGGTGCATAATAAAAAAGTGTTTGTGCTCAATTGTTGTAATATTTGGGTGCTGGCCCGCACTTCTGTTATTTGGGGTACTTGTGCACCCATACAGCCTCCCATTTCTTACGTCACTGTAGGGCAAGAATAATGCTTCTTTACATAGAAGAAACTATACAGTCTGTCATTGAACTTGAACTCGATTGACTCATATACCCACAATCCCCATCAAAAAGGTTGTGACACCTACGGCTTTCCCCTGCTACCCCTCTTCAATGTTGTGATCTGTTGATATTTTTGCTTTCCACCCGATGAATCCACCGCTTTTACCAACATTGAGCAGGGGGGAAGGGGTATAACACTTACAAGTTACATATCGGCAATGTCACAAATATTTTTGTCGCGGGTTGTAGTTCGCTCCATGATTTCAGATAAGCCAGTGCATCATTCACTGATCGAATTTCTTGATTGCAGTATAGGCACATAAAACTCTTTGGTAACAAAATGTATATGCATATTGTGTTACATGTGAACATACTTCCTAATATAACTCGGCTAGAAATTTGTTTTTGCACTTTACATCTTAAAAATATAGTTTAGGGACCGGAAAATATTGTAACTAATGTTAGCTATTTTGATCGAGATTCATCGCATTTTGGAGTCAGATTTTGAGGGTTTGAAATTTTTGCTAATATAGAATATCACCTGTGAATGACCTTGCAGAACCTAAATTCCAAATAAAAGTGCCAACACGTAATCGTGACATATAGATATCTCCATGTTTGGAAAGTGAATGGAAACTTCATCCCATCGCGCGTGTTTTGAATGATAATTCGTTCATAAAGTTGCGAAATAAGTACGTAATATTTCTTCATATTACTTCTGAGCTGTTTGATCCGTTTGAGCAAATTTCCAACTCAATACTCAATAGTTTGAGTCTATTTCGAGTTTCGAAAATATTTAATTTGCTTCGCAAAGCACTGCATGTAAACAAACGCATAATTTTGAGACCGACTGCACGTAGTTTGAGACCGACTGGATCATTTCTCTGGGGGGGGGGGTTCACCCCCCCTGCAAGGTTTGCAGCAAGGTTTGCTTGCTGTTGGAGAAACCATTAAGTCAACAGCAATAATTTCGACCCAGGACGCCGGGAAGGTGTACAATACAGCAAAGAACGGAAGACAAAACTTGAAAAATGTGAGGAAGATGTCATCATATTGGTTTAGTTATTTTGGCAAATATTTAAAAGGAAAAGCATACATTATGGAGAATAGAAATCAGTATTTTGATGCTATTGTGCAACAGTTGCAAAACATTGTTGAATCAAATCAGTATTGCAACAACCAGATTGAGAGACAAATAGGAGACGTTTTCAAAAGTGTGTTGCAGCTAATGGATACAAAAAGAGACAAAGACATAGTTAAGGGACTATTCGCTCATGCCACAAGTGTGAAATTTGTTTCTAAAATTCAAAAAGTGCAAAACAAGTCAGCCATCATGAATTGCAGGGATGAGCTTAAGGGAAATATTGAAATTTTTAAAAATATTCAAGAAACATCTCAGGTGGTACGTAACGACATGACATGTAGCCAGCAAAGACGATTGCAGAATAGAATTGTTCAGGCAAGGAAAGATAAGGAAATGAAACTGAAATTAGAGAGCAGAGGGAGAATGATGAAAGCAGAAGAATGGCCAGAACTTTGTAAGACAATGGAATATATATTTGGAGAATTTGACCAAAAAGAAAAATCAGGTGGAGGTTTAGAGGCTCATCCAAGACTGAAGAATGAGGTAATGTTTAGGAGCGTGGACAACAATACATTTATGACGCAAGCATTACAAATTATAAACGCTCTTTCTCCGCCATCTTTCAACATATCTTTAAGCTCCTGCTATAATTACACCATGACATATAAACAAAACACAGCAAGCGCCAAACGACACCACCATGGAAAAAATGTAAATGCTAATATTTCCTTACATCATCCGCCCAAGACTCTTGTGAAAAACTTAGTGGTAAACCTTCTGCCTGGTACCCAGGCGCTAATAAATTTCATGCGAGTCACTATATGAGAGGTTTATATGAAGTACTTAGTCACATTATAGGAGCGCAAAGGGGGGTGGGATATGAGCGTTCTGGCTAGCGCCTGGCCGATCTTGGAACTGTCATGGCGGACAACGAAGTTACTGGAGCGGAAACCTCAAGAAAACCATTTGATTACAGTAAAAGACCTGTTCATGTAGCGTCTTTAAATAGAAAATTGCCATGTCCTCATCATTTTTGTTCAAAAAATGTGTTTTTTTTCGAAGTGGGTGGACTAGACCACCATATGCGAGCTATACATAAGACGAAAGTTAGAGATGATGATATGAAGGCTGCAAGAAGGCTGTTAAATGAATTACATGGTGAAGAAACACGTAGATGCCTCGAAGAATTCTTCCTCTTACGATCTACGCAGGTATAATTGCGTATGAATATTTTATCATTTATGTATTAAATGCTATTTTGAATTGCAAATTTTTGTTTTGTGCTCTTGTGAGTTAATTAATTATGGATGTTGTACATTTTAAAATTTATGATATTCGCTCTTTTATATAATAGAGTGAGTCTTTCAAAAAGTTCCACGTAGAAACAAACGGCATTAGCATGGAAGCTTTTGCGAATACCGCGACAGAAGCAGCTAAGTTTATCGGCGTATTATTGTGGCATTCAGGGAAACTCGGAGCATTCGGTTCTGGTACAGAATCTGTTGTGATTGCTGTAAAGAACGAAGAGCTACATGTACAGTTTCTTGCTTGGTACTGCATACGCGACGGAAAATACGAGATAAAACTGCAAACGAAATATGTCAGAAGGGTAAGTACTGCTATATTCATTGTAAAAATTTTGAAATCCACAGAATGGAAATTGTATAGGCCTTTATTGGAAATAAAATCGATTTTGGATTACCCATAATACAGTAATTGTATATTTCCATACTATGGATGCATATCTAAATACTGTGGATATACTATGGATTTATTGAAGCAAAATTGCAAATCTCATTGTATGGATTTCACATCCCCCCCCCCCCACACCCAGTGATTAGTGCATAAATGAATGTCAAATAGATTTTATTCTGTGATAACTGATTTGTTATGTGATCTATTTACCTCACTTGTGGACCAGTTCTTTTCCTGGCCTGTTATTTTTTCTAGGCATATCATCTGAAACCAATACTTGTTGCAATGTAAACAAGTCACAAATACACTGGCCTAGTCAAGTCTCCAAATTGCCTATTATGCATTTAGGCTAACAGAGATTGTGATGTTTGAGGGCAAATGAAGCCGCTTACCTTAAAACAATGAGTTATCCACATTCCACAACAATATTTTCACAAGCATACAAAGTGTGACAATTTTCAAACCTCTACTTTGAGAATCAAAGTACTCTCAGGGCCCAATTACATGGAGCATTTTTAACCCCGGGGTTGAACTCAGCCCTGTTTAGTGGGTTGAAATTTCAGCACTGTATGTAATATAAAACTCAATCAAATCAAACGTCCGATTATGTTACAAAATTTTCAACCCAGGGCCAATTTCAAGTTTTCAACCCCAGGGTTGAAATTTAAACCCTGCTTCAGCTATTGTAGCAATCATGCCGGGGGTTGAATACAAGACCTGGGTTAAAAATGTTTGTCATGTTATCATTTAAACCCAGGGCTGAAATTATCATGAGTTTTTTGAGCATGCATGGTAGTGACTATTTATTACAAGAATTCAAAACATAATGAAGGGAATGTAAGTATAGCATTTCAACCTATCTGGTTGAAATTGTCCATGTAAAAAAAATTCTACTCGGTTACCAGGGCTGAGTTCAACCCCTGGGGTTGAAAGTTCCCCATGTATAATCAGCCTTTTGAGATTTTAACTATAGGTTGGATTGATAATAATGGGTCAGTTCAAAGTTAATTAAATTATTTAAAAAGCATACACTAGTGCCGCCGCCATCCCCCCGCTCTCCTCTCACAACATCTGTTTTCATATGCATGTCCTATCAGCCCATGTTTATGTTCTAAAATGTTAGATGAAAATTATATACTTTCTTAAAGTTATATACAGTATATATATTTATAATATAGCATTTGTAAATTCTGAACGCTGATTGGCTAAGAGCCGTGTTGATATAACTCAATGTCAACACGGGAAATTTTCCGCCGCTTGTAAACACGGAAATTTTTCTTATCCGTCGAGCTTTTGACATCGCTATATTATAAAAAAAATATAAAACATTTTTTCCGTATTGATATATAGTTATATCAACACTCGTGGAAGTTGGGAAAACTCGATTGTGTGGAAACACTCCGCCCTTCGTGTTTCCATACAATTTCTTGTTTTCCCAATTCCACTCGTGTTGATATAACTGTATATCAACACGGAAAATGTTTTATATTTGTTAAATATAAGCGCAACACACAACAAAAATACATGCACATCTATTATAAAAGTTGTGAATATGACATTTTTATACCGTATTTACATTTTCAGAAATGTTCAACCACACAGAAATATGCAGTAACATGAATAATTTTAAATTTCAGGAATTCTTATCCATAGAAAGTATAACACCACTTCAAACTCTAGTAACCCCCACTCAAGAAATACAGGCAGTGTTGACAGGTGATAATGTGACTGATGTATTGCAACAGGTGTTTGGTTACAGTTCTTTTCAGCCAGGTCAAGAGGAAACAATAAGAACTATTTTGGATGGTTCTGATACTTTTGTGGTTATGCCTACAGGTGGTGGTAAAACTTTATGCTATGCAATACCAGCAATTATATCCAAAGGACTCACAATAGTAGTGACACCTTTGCTGGCACTAATGGATGACCAAGTTAGAAGATTAAGAGCAAAAAAGATTAATGTTTGTTACATAAATTCAAGAATGACGGAACAAGAAAAAGATGTTGTGATCCATTGTCTCTCACAACAAGAATGCCCATACGACATATTACTCATCACTCCTGAAGCATTGGTAAGCCCCGAATTTCAAGCTGTTGTCATGAAAATGTCAAGAACAAGAAATTTGGCAAGAATTATTGTAGATGAGGCACACTGTGTAGACACATGGGGAAATGATTTTAGGCAAAGTTACTCACAGTTATCAATGTTTAAGGATCACAGCATTCAGATGGTTGCATTTACCGGTACAGCTACTGAAATTACAGTGCAGCGCATTATTGAAAGTCTCCAACTTGACAGTCCACACACAGTGCGAGTATCACTAGAAAGACCAAATTTGTCTTTTACAGTAGCAGAAAAGAGAGAAAGTAAATCAATGGAAAACATTACAGACAAAATTGTTAAAGAATATTCAGGAAAGTGTGGAATAGTTTATTGTTTTTCGACACGAGACACTTTGGATATGGCTTATAATCTTAAACAACGAGGAATTAAGGCTGTTTACTATCATGGACAACTAGACTTGTTTGAGAAGGACAGCAATGCAACTATGTGGTTAGAAAGTAGAGCTGATGTCATATGTGCAACAAATGCATTTGGTATGGGCATTGATAAGAAAGATGTCAGATTTGTAATTCACCATTCTATGCCCAAATCAATGGAGGAATACTTCCAGGAAGCTGGAAGGGCTGGAAGAGATGGCGCTCCAGCACACTGCACCTTGTTCTTTAGATTTCAAGATAGAGTTAAACATCTGAAGCATATAAGCGAAATTGAAGATGGATCTCACAGAACATGTGCAAAGAAAAGGCTTGATGGAATCACAAAGTTTTGCATTGGGAAGGAATGCAGGAAGCAAGCAATGCTCCGCTACTTCAATGACCAACATCATAATGATCCATGTCAAGTATGTGATGCCTGTATTAACTCATCTGAACAGTTAACAGACATGACAGAGACAGCAAATGGTCTCATTAATTGTGCATTAGAGATTCTTGCAATGCAACCAAAGGTGTCTTCAAAATACATTATTTCGGTATACCGGGGTCATAAAACAAAAGAAATTGTCACAAAAGGCTTACACACCCTACCTTCATTTGGGAAAGGTAAGGAAGTTTTCAAGAATGACAAGGGCGCATTAAAGCTTTTGCATTTATTAATTTCAATGGGAATCTTAATAGAGAACCTTTCTTTAGCTGAAAATCAGTCAACACCATTTATTACTGTAGATGAAAATTATCAACTTCAACTTTCAAATGGCTCGATTGTTATAAAAATGTAATCTCTATATTTTTAATTAAAGATGCAGTCCAGTCCAATTGCACATGTCGGCTTTGTTTACACTTTGTCCAAAAAATAACATTATAAAGGAGTGGTGACAACTATAATATTTGATATTTCCCATCTTCCATTTGATAAAGGTAGCATGACAAAACCTTGTAAGAACATAAAATCTAGTTGAACTGTTTTTATCACAAAAATCCAATGTGTGCATGTGCAAGACACTAAGACAGACTAAACTGCATCTTCAATGTATTGGTGTACTGCATCATATTTATCGTCAATCACGCTCGGCTAAATGGGATAGTCAATGATAGTTTGATTGAAGAGCATCAATGAATGACAATGACGTGCTAGAGTTGGATATATTACAGTAGTCAGTACTGCATATTAACAAAATACTAAAAAAATTGAAGTGGCTGTCAAATCTGTTCTGCTTGTGTGCCAGTTAAATTAGTATTGGTAATATAATCTAATTAACAATCTGATTAACAATCACGCCCGATCGACGGTCTACTAATAATTGCCGCTTAGCACTGTTAACATAGCTTGATAATACGAATCTTGTGACATTTGCACTAATAACAGTATGTGCTGCATTAATATTTTGTCAAAACTACTTGATTTTTCTCTAGGGTCAACAGTTTTAGCAGAATCTATATATAGAGAAAAACTATCACCACTAAATTAAAAGTACGAAACCCCCCAAACGAAACACTAGCCTTGGCTAGTTAATTGTATAACAGAGTTCAGTACTTTGAATGTCGTGACAAGGATACATGTATGTGACAATTGGAATTAGTTTTACATCAGGCTAGAAATAGGAAAAACATATGGCCTGCCAAACTATTTTCTGTTGGCAGGTCATATAAATTCTGGTCTGCCATTTCCATTTTTGAACTGCCAGAATGGTCTCACTCAGGTATAAACTGCATAAAGGATTAAAGATTAAATTAAATGTTAATTTATCTCATGCATATCAATCATTAATTTTTTCACCTGCAATTTCTGAAATATGGCCTGTCTTTTGGCTGCTAATTTTAGCCCTGGTTTTCTAATTCTATCTATCTTCTATCATAATATTTCATACAATGTTTATTGGAGTCTCATACAGTGCCGGATTAACCATACGCCACGGGTCCCGCGCTTTTGGGGGCCCCGCGCTTTTGGGGGCCCCGCGCTTTTGGGGGCCCCGCGCTTTTGGGGGCCCCGCGCTTTTGGGGGCCCCGCGCTTTTGGGGGCCCCGCGCTTACTCTCTTCTATTTTCTCCCGAATGTTTTGTTCCCCGTTTCATCGCGGGGCCAAATAGTGCGCCAGTGCGGGGCCCCAAAGAGCCTAAGTTCCCCAGAAAACGTGGGGCCCCAAAATTTAAAAAGCGAGGCCCCAAAGAGCGAGTTTTTTCGTTCCCTGTTTCGTTCCCTGTTTTTTCGTTCCCTGAAAAAACGGTTTTTTCTTTCCCTGTTTCAGTGCGGGGCGACAAACAGCCCAAGTCCCACAGAAAACGCGAGGCCCAATAATTTAAAAAGCGAGGGCCCCAAAGGTTTTTTATTCCCCGCAGTCAGTGTTTCAGAGCGGGGCTCCAAAGAGCCCACGGTCCCCAGAGAACGTCAGGCCCCAAAATTTAAAAATCGAGGTCCCAAAGAGCGAGGCCCCAAACGTTTTTTCGTCCTGTTTCAGCGCGGGATCCAAACAGCATGGGCCCCAATGGACCAAACGCGAAGCCCAACATAGCGAGGTCCCAAAGTTTAAAAAGCGAGACTCCAAAATCAGGGCCGCAAACAAAATACTGTTAAATATTCGTGTTCTTTACGCAGAAATAAGGATATCCTGCTTACGGTTTCTCATACGAAAACCAAAAAGACCTTTGGTGATAGGGCCTTTGCTGTGGCAGCGCCAAAACTTTTTAACGACCTTCCTCGAGAAATTAGACATGAGACGAATTTTAATAAATTCTTGTTTAGGATCGCTTATGCCTAACTTTACTTATTAACATTGATTTTATACATTGTACATATATATTTTAGTATACTGAACCCGTTGTAATTTACTCTTGTAATATAGGTTTTATATAAAATTCTATCTTTTGTAACGCGCATTTGATCATATTCGAATGTAAATTTGCGCGCTATAAGTATTAAATTATTATTATTGAATAATAAAAGATAGCTGAATTGTTGTGGAAGACGGCATAAGTTCTATTTTTCGCCTGCAAATAATAATAATGTTAATGGTGTCGAATTTCAGTTCGATCATATTATTGATGTAGCTATAATTCTTTTTTTTTGTAAACTTTTCAACGCACAAAATACAAGAGGATATTTTCTAATCTTATTGAATTCAGTGTATAAAATGCCGTTCGGGGGGGGGGGGGTCAAGGGGCCCCGCGCTGATAATATGCCACGGGCCCCGCAAAACGTTATTCCGGCCCTGGTCTCATAGCATGAGTTCTGCATAACTTCATGATTTACTGTACTGGGGCTGGTTGTTCAAAGCTGAATTAGTGCTAACCCTGTGTTAAAATTTATGCCTGTTTATTTCAAAACGTCAGAGAAGAAAACTCCTACTGGATCATGACAAAAATTGAGAAGAAATATTTCCTATTTTTATTCTATATTTATTTCTATAAACAAGCTGTTGGTAAGTCTGCTTGGAATTTTAGCCGTTAACCTAGGCTATGGGTAAGCTAATCGGTTTGCAAACAACCTACACCTGGAAACTATAGTTAAAATGTTCAGTACTGGTATATACAAAATTAAAGATGCTACAATTATAAACTCCATATTCATGGGAACAAACGCTTTTGTTTGCATTTTGAACTCAGTGATAGAGTTGTAAAATACGATTAGAAATGTATTGTTAACACTCGTCTGGTTCGGCTATGCTTTTAAATGAACACAGACTAGAGAATTCAAGAAAGTTCGAAATGTGCGAATTATTAATAGCATTCCAATTGTCGGGTCCCGACCATTGGAATGCAGCAGGCCTGCATTACAAATACAGGCCTGCGCAAAGCGGACTTTGCAGCATCTTTAAGTTGAGCCAACATGTCGGACACTTGGAAAACATTCGTGTAACTTTCCATTAAATTCTTTTGTGACCTTTTGACATCCCTTCTTGTATACTTCATAGCATTTCTTGGGAAGTTGGATCTCTTTTGGACCCGAGCCATCCAAAGGAAAATGGCGAATTACATTCCTATCTTCAACACATGACACGACATCTTCTCGCAAGCAAAACCACACTATGTGGTCAGGAAAAGGATCTTGCTGCGAGTGTTTCTTAGTGGGATGTACGTTGAAAGCTTTTGTGGACATAAATGCCTTTCTGGTTGCTTCTATAATCTGGATATTTGCCATCATGCGTTCACACATCTTCACACTTGTATGTCCTTAATTGACTAATACGAACTAAATTATGTGCTACAAACAGAACGTGAGCAATTAATTATGCGTTCTGGAGAAAAAAGTGAAAGAAAATCAGCAAGCAACACGTAGTTTGAACAAGTTTCTTAAAGTACAGAATTTCAACAAACGGTTCCGGATATGACATATAACCAATTTGCGGAATTACAACTACCTGCAAAATATAAGCAAAACTTCGAGGTTTTGAGTGAAAGCGTGACGAACGGCATGCACTAAAAACGTCGATGTTTTGCTTATAAACTACATTACTCATTAATACGTAGTGTTGCACGTTGTCATTGACATTGTACATGAAGAACAGTATAGCCAAAATTAAACGAATAAACAAGCAGTTAGATTTACCTGTCACATAGCTTTTTAATGGCTTCACTAAATGCTCTTCGACAAATTCATCCATAGCTAGATCGTGCCCTTCCTTGCCAGATAGACTGATGGAGCAATTTCGCTTCATCATCTCCCTGAAAGCAATAGGCCAAACCGCTGTAAAGTTTACCACATGAACCAAAGCTTCCGTCCAGTAGTTCCGAAACTGAAGTTGTGCAAATATGGGCAACAGAATCTTCCAAATAGCCTCCCTTGTTGTTCCAAGACCGTTCCTAATCACGTCATTCATCCCTTCAAGAAGCGGAGCAAATAGATCAAACATTTGCATGGTGTACGCGAATGACTGATCCTGTTCTGCACATTTTGATAACCAATGCTTGAATGACTTGAGAAGAATATCATTGTGATTACCGGACAAAGTCAATTGTTCATCGAAATCTTCTTTGCTGGGAAATTCTTCTGAAATTTTGAAATTCTGAACTGCAGCGAGACCAATCGCCATAGCACCATCTCTTACAGCTTCTTGTATTCTTTGCAAGTTCTGTTGCTGAAATTTTCTTGCCCGAAAAGCTTCATCAACGACTTTTGGCCTTTTCATCACCTTATTAACGACATACAAAAACACACCTGACTTTTTAGCCTTGTATGCTGCTTCACAAAGGTAACCTTTCGTGTGCAGATCACCAGGCACTTCTGCTACCCATTTGAATGCCTCTTGTGAACGGTGTTTTGCTGACCTAAGGATCTTACAAGTTCCTTGATCTCCTACTATCGCAGTTGGACATTGTACATTAACGCTGCGGTCAAATACAACACCAACCGTGTCATCACCATCTCCATCTTTACTCGATGTTTCCATTGAAATATCAGAGCAGCAATTGCTTCCATCGTTGGTTATCTTGTCAATATAATCATCTTCCTTTTCCTGATATTGAAACAATTCGAGAATATCTGTCAACTCCATATTCTCTGCCATGTCCATAGGAGACGGCATACTGGCATACAACGGTCCAGAAAAGGAGGCAAAATTTTGAACAAGTAATTCGCACATGACATCGTAACGGTTTAAAACTGCAATAGAAAGTGGCGTGGCGCCACAACCTTCTTGGATGTTAATGTTTAATCCACAGGAAATCAGTGTTTTGACTAAGGGGATATTATTATATTCCACCGCATAATGTAATATATTACGACCGAGATGATCTGCAACATTCTCCCACTCCTCTTGTGTATCTTGCAACTTTTTAACAAGTTTATTTAATTGCTCGTTATCTTTTGATTGCATTGCAGTCATCATGTTGTTATTTATGCGATTGTACAATTTGATCAACTTTCCATCTTGCTGTTGGAAAAAGCGAGTTGTACTTTCGATGGTTTCTGCAGGTATTTCATTAGTTTCTCCATCCTCATCTCCCCTACTTTCGTTGGATTCATCGACAATGGTTTTCTCAGTAGACCGTATCCGTTCGTCTATGACAATGGAATTCTTTCGATGATTAAACAGCATGATCATAAATTCATGATGTTTTCTAGCAGAAGTAAGATCGTAACACTTATTAGTTTCGTCAAAAACGAAGTGTCTATTTGCATGTTTACATGGAATTTTAAATTCCTTGCTGAACTGTTCCAATATTGATGCCGTGCCTGTGAGTGTGGAATTATTTTCCAAGGACAAGGGTAATATTAAATATTCACTTTTCCCCATCAACGGAAATTCTCTTTCCAATTGAGGAATATCAATCTGATAAGATGCTTTTCTACATGCTTCATCATTTGTAGTCAACAAGGATTCTTTGATCCAATCATCACATTCTTTATCACTTAATTCATCAATTGGCTTTGAACAGGGTGGTATTTTGTTTAGGCCAACGTCCAAAAGCTTCAGGAAATACCGATCTTTAATTTCACCCCACAACTCTTCATGCTTTGCATCTCCACCTAATCAAAAATGAAAACATTGTAGCATTGTCGATATATCGATATATTTGTAGGGGTATTAAACGGTGAATGAGATAGTATATATAGAACAGTGCCTGAGACCGTATATTCAGGGACGTCGCGAAGGGATCAACATGGGGGGGGGGTGTTGTCATGGTTTGACCAACTGTCCCGGGATTTTGACCAACTGTCAACAAAATTTTTTTCCCTGAAATGTTGTCGACGGGGGGGGGGGAGTTCGCCAAAAACAATTTTTCCGCACATATACAATTAAAAAAATTTTTCGAATAATACTGGCGTTTTTGAAGTTATTTGATCAATTTTTGGGGTTTTGGAGCAAATTGTGGTCCCCCCTGTGACCAACTTTTGGCAACATCAATCCCGTTTTGACCAACTTTTGACCAACTTTTTATTATTGGGGGGGGGGGTGTCACACACCCCCAGTAGCGACGTCCCTGCGTATATTTTCCATATTATCCAGACATATTGTTTAATGTACAACATACCAAGTAAAATATCACTTGCTTCAAGATCTGTGTATAGGTGCTTTGACCCTATACGCTTTCTTTGCTTGTTATTTTGTATCGACCCGAATGTGACAATTGACGTTTCTGTCTGACTTTGTTTTATTCTAACAAAAATATGAAAATACATAAAATACACTAAATATATACGTAAATTTACAAACAATTTACAGTTCTTACATAACAAAATGCTCACATATAGGACAGAAATACATAATCAAACTTTAAATGTCTTACCGAATGTCGATAATCCCGTATTAAAGCTAGTTTTTTGCTATTAAAGTCCAAATATAATCCTTCGAAACAAAACAACAAAAACGTTTTATGTTCGTCGAAAACCCCGGATGTTCACCGGAAACTCGCTAAACTTCGATCACTGACCGGAAGTGTTGAGCTAGCCTCAACATAGTCCCCCCGTTGAAACGGTCGCTATGAAACGTTCAAATATATATATATAAGAGTTATGGTTCTACTGTTTAAAGTGCTTCCTCTAATAAGCACAACTTAGAAATTGGTCTCACCAAAGTCGATATCTTTGTCTTTACTTCTGCCGTACGTACCAAACCATCCGCTCCGAAGAAGACCTTGGTTACTCGTCCAAGATGCCAATGTCCTCGAGGCTGAGTTGTATCCACCAAAAGCACCAGATCATTCACTCTCAAATTTGGTTTCTTCGTCATCCACTTCTTTCTTTCTTGCAAAATGGGAAGATATTCACGAATCCACCGCGCCCAGAAGTGGTTGGCCAGAACTTGTCCTCTGCGCCACTGCTTTCGAGAATGGATTTCTGTGTCTTGAAATAAACCAGGAGGTACTGCGAGACCTTGCCGTTGTTGTAAGAAATGACTTGGCGTGATTGGTTCACAATCGTTCGGATCTTCGCTGCTTGGACAAAGAGGTCGGCTGTTGAGAATACCAGCTGCTTCTGCGAACACTGTACGCAGCGTCTCGCGCTTGATAAAGGCGTGCGGATGCCCAATAATGGCCTTCATGGTCTTGCGAACGCTTCTGATCAGTCTTTCCCACACTCCTGACATGTGGCTAGCGGTAGGAGGTTGAAAGTGCCACTTCTTCAATGGTTGTGAATGCCATTCTACTCCCCTTTCGTGCAAAGCTTCGATTATTGCCTTCTGATTCCATCCCTGAATAGCCAATCTTATCTCCTTTTCTCCACCAACGAAGTTGGTCCCATTGTCACTCCATATCTCCTTGGCAGCACCACGAGTACAAATAAAGCGACACAAGGCTTGGATGAAATCGTCTGCCTCCAGTGATCCAACATCTTCAATATGGATTGCCCTTGTAGTGAAACACACGAAAATGCAACCATACACTTTCTCAGTGCCACGACCACGTTTGACATAAAACGGACCAAAAAAGTCCAAACCGGTGTAGGTAAAGGGAGGCTCGTATGGAGTAAGCCTAGCTATAGGAAGGTCACCCATCATCTGTTTCATGGGAGCTTCGTTCCTCTTACGGCAGGTGATGCAACGACGCAGGATCTGGCGAGTTAACACTCGGGCGTTAATAATCCAGTAATACTGACGGACTACGGACAGTACGTGTTCTCGACCGGCATGTCCTAACACTTGATGGTAATAGGTAATGATTAACGTGGCGATATGGTGTTGATATGGCACTATCATGGGGTTGATGTTTTCTGAGGTTAGTGGTGCATGCCTCAAACGACCACCGACACAAATAACACCGTTCAAAAGTATGGGGGAAAGAGTCATCAATCTGCTGTCTGCCTTGATCTTCTTTCCAGATTGCAGGGCCAATAATTCATCCTGGAAATGTTGGCTTTGAACCATTCTCACGATAGACGTTGACGCCTCCTTCATTTCAGCTAAGCTTATTTCTTTAGGGAATGAAGCCCTTCGTGTTTCTTCTTTGGATCGTAGATGGCGGACGAATCGCGCGAGCCAAGAAACGCATCTTTGCAGCTTTGACCAGGACGATACGTCATTCAATAATTGACCCAAATTGGAACCAACTGCAACCACCAACACGCTTTGACTAACTCGTGGTTTCAACACCTCTTCATCATCTTCTGGGACTTCAGAAACCCTTGCACATGGCCATTGATCCACCGTCTGGCTTAAGAAAGCTGGTCCTGACCACCAACGGCACTTCGGATGAAAGGCTTCAATCGGCAAACCTCTCGATCCATCGTCAGCCGGGTTTACAGCTCCTGGAACATGCCGCCACTGTTCTGGTGTTGTGTGCTCATGAATTTCTTCGAGACGAGTGGCCACAAAGCGTTGGAATCGCCTATTCTCATTTCTGATGTATTGGAGAACCGTAGTGGAGTCGGTCCAAAAGGTTATGTAATCGATGTTCCAATCCAATTCAGCTCTAATTAGATTGCTCAGACGTACAGCCAGGACACTTGCCATAAGTTCCAGTCGTGGAATGGTGGGTCTCTTAATTGGGCAATTGCGGCATTTCCCCATGATAAATGTACAAGAAATTACTCCGTCGTCGTCAACGATCCGTAGGTAGGCTGAAGCGGCATATGCAATCTCACTCGCGTCGCTAAACAGATGTAGCTCGATCATGCTCGTACGAGCCATGTCCGTATTAAAATAGCATCTTGAAATTCTAACTTCAGACAGCTGGGAAAGCGACTTGAGCCATCGTTGCCAAACTCCGAGTTGCTGATCTTGTATCTCGTCATCCCAGCCTAACTTCCGTTGCCAAAGTTCCTGGAGCAGTGCTTTGATAGGAAGAACATAAGGAGCAAGAAAGCCCAGCGGGTCAAACAAAGAACTCACTACCGAAAGAATTCCACGTTTCGTAGCAGGTTTGTTGGTGGAAATGGACGTGAAGTAGAATTCGTCGGTTTCAGCGTCCCAACATAATCCCAGGGTACGGTTAATCGGCAGCTGGTCTAAGTCTAGATCGAGCGTAGGGGAAGCCCTTTCTTTGGCTGGAATTGCTTGTAGGACCTCTCTTCGATTGCTAAGGAATTTCGTGAGACGGAATCCACCTTCCTGTAGTAGGGATATCAACTTCAAAGCTAGATCAATGGCTTGCTCGACTGTCACAGTTGATTTCAAAAGATCGTCCACATAGAAGTTCCGTCGCACTACATCTGCTACAGATTTACCGTATTTCGTCTCGTTGTCATCTGCGGTCTGCTTCAGGGCCTTGTTAGCACAACAAGGCGATGATTTCGCACCAAAAATATGGACAAGCATTTTATACTCTTCCGGAGGCTTATTGAGATCACCATCCGACCACAAGAATCGAAGAGCATCGCAATCTTCAGGGGTCACTCTCACCTGGTGAAACATAGCTTCTATATCAGCGATAAGAGCAACCGGATCTTGTCTAAAACGTACCAGGATGCCAACCAGATTATTGATCAGGTCTGGTCCTTGAAGGAGTTCATCATTTAGTGACGTTCCTGCAAAGGTTGATGCTGCATCAAATACGGCACGAACTTTTCCTGGCTTATGAGGGTTCAGGACTGGGTGGTGCGGAAGATACCAGGTCTTGTTGCTTCGCACTTTGGTCTCTTCAGGCGTAAGCTTGCAGGCATAACCCTTCTCAACATAGTCATCGATAATTGCCAGATATTTTTTCTTTAACTCTTGATCTCGTTCAAGTCGACGCCTGAGATGTCGAAGGCGTATTTCTGCAACCGATCGGTTGTCAGGAAGTCGTGGATCACCATGCTTCCATAGCAGTCCCATTTGATAGTGACCATCAATCTTGCCAATCGTACCTTCTATGACTTTCTCAGCCCGTTTGTCTTCCAAAGACTTTGGTTTGGAGTTGTAGCTCACACTTCCAAATGATTCCAATTTCCAGAACAATTCGACTTGTTTATTGAGCGTGAAATCATCTGTTGCAGCGCAAATGTTGTGAACGGCCGAGCGCTGTGATTCTGAACCATCCCCAATGCGGCCAAGAATTGAAAACCCAAGACAGGATCGTATTGCTACCGGAGCTTGAGGGCCATTGTGCCGAACATCAAGTGGTATGAAAGCTTCTGGAACATTAGTCCCGATTATAATAGAGATCTTTTTCTGCTGAACGTCAGGAAATGGCACGTCCTGAAGATGGGACCATCGTGATTTGTTGCTTCGCATAAGTTGATGACGTAATGGTATCTTCAAATCTCTGCCACACCAAGCACTTCTCAGCTCCAAGCGCTGTGGTTCATTGTCGATAAGGGATTCAACTGAAAGATTGACCCGATAACCATGTTGAATATCATTGTCGTTGCTCACTGTTGATACGACCAATTCATCAGGTTGTCCATCTAAATCCAAAGTTGATGCTAGTGAGGGGTCCACTAGGGTTATCTCTGATCCCGAGTCGAGCATGGCATATGTGGTCACGACTTTCCCCAGTTTTCCAAAAACACGTATAGGTACAACTTGTAGCAGAACAGCATCAGAATCCTGCAGAAAAGCCGTATTGACAGCGCCGGCTTGCAAATCACTGCCGTCCTTTTGAGCAGAATCTTGATTGCTCTCTTTCTTCTGCTGGTTTGGTATATGCAACAACGTGTGATGTGAAGCGCCACATCCTTCAATTCTGCACTTGAATTTGCTCGGGCAACACTTGGCAATATGTTTAACTGTGATACCAGATTGTAGAACTGGACTATTCTTTAGACAGTTATAACAGAGACCTTTAACTTTTACGAACTCGTTCCTCTGGGCATGTGTTTTCTCCTTGAAAAGGTTGCAGCGGTGTAGCGGGTGTGCCTGGGAGCAGCAAGGACAAGGTGTTTCTTGAGGTCCTCTCTTGCCCGAGGAATTTTGATCGTCCTTAACACCTGTGGCCATCGTATATCTTGGCAGTAGATCTTCCTTCTTCCTTTTGTTTCCCTTCAAGAGGTCGCTTTCCTGGGTTTTCCCCTTGCTGGCATTCATAGGGTGGTTTGCAATGTTTGCCCATTTGTCAACGAATATGGAAAAGTCGCTTAATGTTGGGAAACGTTGATCCTTTTCTTCCAATTTGCTTGCCAAACCCGCGAATCTTTGTTGTAGATGTTTCGGCAGTCGACCTGCCATCTCCACCAGATTTCCTTGATTTATCTCATGCAAACAGTTCAGGGACTTCAATGTAGCCAAAGCTCTTGCGGTTTTATCTGCGAACTTTCGAAGTGCAGTTTTGTCACCATTTGGAATAACAGGTCCCTTTACCAGTCCATCCACAATCGAACTCACAATTACGCATGTACGACCATACCTCTTCTGTAGAATTTTTAGTGCCTCATGTATGCCGCCATCAACTGCCTCGAGACTTGCAACTGCTTCTTTCGCCTCACCGTCCAGAAATTGCAATAGTCGCAGCATCTTCTCTCCATCATCAAAGTCTTGTCTTGACATTATGCGTCTTTCAAATCTCTGCTTAAAGAGAGGGAAATGTTCTGGAGAACCAGAGAATTTGTCAAGCTTGATGGCTGGGAGGCTTTGGTTGGAGGCTAATTTCTGCTGGACAGATGATATGCTTTGCATTGCAGATGCTACCATAGTCAGGACGCCATCTTGGGGTGAGTTACTTACGCTCGTACGTCTCGGTGGCGGTTCCAAAGGCGAACAGGTTGGCTTGTTCACAAGTAAAGGTGTTCTGTGTTCCACTTCAGAAAATGGTAGTTTACCATCATTTGAATTTAAAGACTGGTCAGCAACATTGCTAGCAGAGGTCCATCTGACTGGGGGTACACCAATTGGGGTATAGTTGAAGGTAGGTATTGAGAGTCTATCTCTGTAACATGCAGAGTTGGTATGTGGGTAGAGATCATCAAGTCTTGGGTGGTAAACATTTTGTTGGTTATCAATAGGCATCGGTGCCTTATCACTAATATTTGTCGGTCGACAAATACTTGTTGCATTCATTGGAGCCAAAGTTGCAAATGGATTAATGTTCCTCAATAAACTTGCACTTGAATTGCCTGTCCACTGTGTCCATGGAGAGGAAGCTGTTATAACCGGTGTTGAATAAACTGGTTTGGCAGAAAGATCTGGGTTCAGTGAGTTGTTTCTCATAGTGGGATGTGGTTCATCTTCAAATAAGAAATCCTCATATAAGAGAGGTCTTGGAATATCACCAGTGAACTGATCAGCACCAGTTGGAATATCCTCTTGATCTTGTGTGACAAGGCTCATATCAATTTCCCCCTGTTCCTCCATCTGTTCTTCCAATTCAGCTTCTAAGTCCATAAGTGCTGCCCTTTGTCGGGCTTCAGCAAGCTCTCTTTCAGACTGTTGTCTTAAGGTTTCCAATCTTTGGGTCCTTTCAATCTCTTCCTTTTCCATCTTTTGTTGTCTTAATAGTTCTCTGTGCTTCTTTTCGATCTCCAAAAGCTTTATTTCACCTTCAAGTCTTCGCCACTGCTCTTGCTCTGCCAAGCGTAAAGCTACATTTGCCTTTACAGCTTGGGCTCTTTTTTCAAGTACTACTGAGCTTGAAGAATGCTTCGATCCTCTGGAACTATTAGATCTATAGGACTCCACACTTTCAGTATATGGTGATATGTGTTCTCTTCGCAAGTGTGAGTTATCCATGATTATCTCATTAAAATAGGTTGCGGCATCAAGTAGGTATCCAGAGATTTTCTGAACAAAGGCAATCTTTTCAAGGTGTAACTGGTCAAACTGTTGAAGGGTATGGTAGAACTCTTGGCTGTCTGAGCCAAGTATAGATACGTAGTAGTTATGTGACTCCACAAATGTTTTCCATGAATTATCATACTGCTGGGAAAGTGTTCTAACAGTCTCGGCATTAGTTGGGTCGTTTAATAGAGTTTCAATTTTGCCACGAACACGAGTAACAGCTCCCAAGTATCCTGCTCTTGTTCTTTTTGACGAGTACACCTTTTCGGCGAGAACATCATCAGAAACTTGTTGCACACGTTCTCTCTGTGACCACTTGGTATTTCTATTGGCCCAATCCATATCACAGATAAATCACCCAATACATATGTAATTGTATCTTTCAAATATTCAGTTGTGCCAAATGTACAATTACCCAAATGTTGATTTATTTAAACGAATATCCAAATGTTGTTCTATTTTAGTAGTAGTTGATCCAATATCCAAATGTTGATTTATTCAAACAAATATCCAAATGTTGATTTATTCAAACAAATATCCAAATGTTGATTTATTCAAACAAATATCCAAATGTTGATTTATTCAAACAAATATCCAAATGTTGATTTATTCAAACAAATATCCAAATGTTGATTTATTTTAGTCGTAGTCGATCCAATTAACACAAGTCAAATATAAACAAAACAAGTATAAACTCACTTGACTTTAACAGGTATTCATAAAGCGTTGTATACAATTTTAAATAAACATCAGGCGAAAACCACAGGACTTTCTACGTGCTTCGACTAGAACCCGCATATGGTTGGCTGATCATTCGAATAAAACTATGTATAGGTGCTTTGACCCTATACGCTTTCTTTGCTTGTTATTTTGTATCGACCCGAATGTGACAATTGACGTTTCTGTCTGACTTTGTTTTATTCTAACAAAAATATGAAAATACATAAAATACACTAAATATATACGTAAATTTACAAACAATTTACAGTTCTTACATGACAAAATGCTCACATAAAGGACAGAAATACATAATCAAACTTTAAATGTCTTACCGAATGTCGATAATCCCGTATTAAAGCTAGTGTTTTACTATTAAAGTCCAACTATAATCCTTCGAAACAAAACAACAAAAACGTTTTATGTTCGTCGAAAACCCCGGATGTTCACCGGAAACTCGCTAAACTTCGATCACTGACCGGAAGTGTTGAGCTAGCCTCAACATAATATATATATATATTATATATATATATATTATATATTATATATTATATATTATATATTATATATTATATATTATATATTATATATTATATATTATATATTATATATATATATATATCGGGTGTCCCAAAAAAAAGTACTCCGGTTTGATTTGTAATAACTTCGAAACTAGTAAAGCTTTTAAAGAAAAATAACTTGCATCAAATAGAGGAAGCCCTAACTTAGATTTTGATATATTACACTTGTATTTCACTTAAACATTCGCGGAGATATTAATGTTTAAAATCGGGAGCATATTTCTGGATGTGTATGAAATATGCAAAAAACGGGGTATCAAATATTAATCAAGATTTGCCCGACTGAAACATGCACTATTACCAGTAAATAAATGACACTTGACAAATTGTTTATTATGAAACAAAGTATTGTTATCTACAAAATTCAAGGAAGATTTATTCGTCCGAAATCCGCGTGTGTTTCTATAGCACGAGTACGTTTCCTTATTTCATAAGACCACTGACTGCATCGCGAAGCATCGTCGTGGATCGTTCGTGTTCTGAATTAGGGGATGCTGTCACAATGGAATTGTGAAGCTCTTCTAACTTTTGCAACGTTCTGAAATCTTGTTAAGAACACTCAATCTTTTTTGCTTTTTCTTAATCTTGGCAAGTTCAGAATAAACTAAGAATGAAACACAATCAAACCATACAACTCCATAAGACATAACAAGCAACTCCCCAGAGACATCCAACATTTTTGGAACAAAACATAACAAAATAGTAGCGTTGATACTGTGATGTGTTTTGCAAAATGCAGTATTATTTCCTTCATTAAAAAATAATATTCATCCTGCTCTAATCGAGAAATATTCAACTCTGTTTTCAACCCATGAAAAGCATAAAAAATATAGGCTATTTAAGAAAAATTTAAGCGCCTGCCTTGAATGGTCTTTCATGTACCTTTAAATTTGTATTAAAGACCTATTAAATACTTTAGTCTTTACGTTTATATTTCGTAATATAATACGAACGTTTATATTTCAGGAAACAATGAGCTTAGATGTAAGATGTCTAAATCTACACCATATTTTTATACAATCCCTGACGACAATTCGCTGAAATACAAGTTAGCCTGATATGTCATTAAACAAACAAACGCTGGAGTTAATATTTGATATGCCGATTTTCGCTAATTTTAGACACATCCCAAAATATGCTCCCGATTTTGAACATTAATATCTCCGTGAATTTTTAAGTAAAATACAACTATAATATATCAAAATCTAAGTTAGTCCTTCCTCTATTTAATGCAAGTTATTTCTGTTTGGTAGCTTTACTTGTTTAGAAGTTATTATAAATCAAACCGGAGTACCCTTTTTTGGGACACCCGGTATATATATATATATATATATATATATATATATATATATATATATATATATATATATATATATATATATGTTAGGTTGTGTAATTGTACACTCCGTAATATGTTAAGATGAAAATGTTCTAGAGTGTGTATTATATAATTTCCATACCCAGCGCAAGCAAAAAGATGTCGTCTGCCGCGGCTGTGTCTTGAATCCGCGACCTTCGAATTACTAGATCGACGCTCTACCAACTGAGCTACACGGTCAGACAGATTTAAGACTGGAAATTATGAAATATATACTGAATGTCAAAAACATACTCGTTTATATTAATTCAGCATCGAACAATACTAGTTCTGCAAGTGTTATGTTAAGTTGTGTAATTGTACACTCCGTAATATGTTAAGATTATGAAATATATACTGAATATATGGAAATTATATATTATATATTTTAATTATATATTAATATTTTTGAATATATGGAAATTATATATTAATTATTCCGCTGGGTATGGAAATTATCAATCTCGTTCCCTGAGCCTGCGGTCCTTGGGAAGGAACCGAAGGCTCTGGGATAATCCGTTTCAGGGAGGAATCTGATTGGCCGTTGAGATGGAATGGAATGTAGCAATAGAACGAAAATTAATTATTAATCGTATAATTTTATAACAACATGGCTGCCGTTTAGGAGTGCGCTAATATTGTTTTTGGATTTCAGCGACGATTTCAGTGCAATTTTAGCAGTGCTAAGGTAAATTATCTTCTGTAATTGTACATGGAAAATATAAAGAAACGTTATATTTTTCACAATAGTAAAATAGGGCGTGAAATTTTTTATAAATTTGTTATTCGTGTTGTATTAAATACACCGAGCTATTTGCCTATTTTTATACTGAACTATATGCCTTACAAGTTATATTTTGGAACTATCTTCCTCAATAAGCAACTTCCTCTTAATTGCTAAATAATGATCTCACACTGGCAATTTTTATTATAATTTTTTTGTAGTCTGCATACTTGTGCTATAATTGTATTACAATGGTACAAATTCATAATAAATATATTAGCAATATTTTAATATTGCTTCCATTGAACTGCATTCCAATATAATTTCCAAAGAAGAAAAGCACTATAAGCTTCTTAGAAACAATAGCTTTGTAACAAATATGGCAGGCCCAGGCTCACATATTGATTTCTTTTTGTTCCCCAGATCAAATTTGGCTATTCTGAATAAAACTGCTGGTATCAGAGCATTCTTTGGTAAACAACAGCACATGGATTGCTCCCAAGAGACACAGACATACTGTATGCATGGTCTTTCAAGTAAAATCCTAGTGAATCAATATATGAGCTGGAAAAATCTTGTTCTATCTTTTTGTCTATGTTTGTGAAAACTTGTGCACAGTCAAGACAATGTATTTTTGGCATAATGAACAATTGCCCAATGGCATCATCTTGTTGAATCACTTAGACGTAGTCTGTTGAAATATTAAGCAAAACTTCAAAAGATTTGTGCACAGTTAAGCTGTCTCAAGATGAAATTCATTTATTTTGACAGTTTTGCCAAGTTATTGGCAATATAAGTATACACTAGTGAGGTGGCTTAAATAAACCTCCAGGGTTATAAATAAATGTTTTGCAATATAATGATGAACATGTAATGGTAATAGTGGTTTAATATGCAAATTTATTTGTAATATTGTATGTAAAATTTGCTTGGCAGTGCCACACACCCTCTGGCTCACCTTCCCCCTGGATTTTCGGCACCCCTCCAGTGCAAAATCTGAAAATCTGTCTGGTTCGAGGGCATGCTCCCCCCAGGAAATTATGAAATCTGAGACCTTTCAACCCCCAGAAATACAATCAAATTTGCTAGCTGAATAAAAAATAGGCCATATAGCTCATAAGAATATGAACAAGGCATTGTAAAAATATTAAAATGTGTTAGCCTATGTAGCATTTGTTGCATTAAAATGTTCAATGTATTGTGACAAAGTTGTTGTACAAGTCAGATGTTATGTTTGGCACACTTTACCCATCCCCCTACATTTTCAACGGAATTAAGCATCTCCCAAACATGGTCATAAGGCAGATTGGGGGGGGGGGTGGGTTGTGCCCCCCCCTCCGAATGCACCCGTGATTACCATCATTATGCCTCTACCATGAATATGACAGAGATTTATTGGGAAAATTGTATATATTTTTAATTAACTTGTTTGCCAAATTCTTCAAATTGAAATATTTATAGATGGATCCAATACACTAGAATTGGCATTTTCTAACATTTCAGCAGCTGAACTTAAAACACTGTCATCACAGCTACATTTCTGTTGATGAAAATCACAGCAAGTATGCTCTAGTTTAACCTCTTTGCTAGTTTGTAACCAAAGTAATTCAGAATTATTTCCCTTTTGCATTTATCTGCCACAGCTACAATTAGCTCTTTCACACGGGGTGAAATGTTAAAAGATGATGAGTTGTAGTATATTGTGGAAGATGCTGGAAGTCCATCTTGCCCACATCTACCAGCTTCTTGAAAATACTCCTTAATTATACAAGGGACTCCAATATGAATGATCCTACGGATGTCACGCACGTCAACACCAATCCCTAAACCCACAGTGACAAATAGTAGCCTTAACTTGGACTGACCACTTACAAGATCCTGTACAGTATAATCCTTTCTTGTTCATGTTCTGGATATTGCACATGAAACTGTGTGAATAGTCTGTTAACTGAATGTTTGCTAGATTGTACTGGTTCATATTGCAAAGGCCCCATCATATTGCTTGCAAACAAAAAAATTCTCCAATAACTTGCAAGTTGCCATAAACTAATTAAATGTCAGAGGGAAATTGAACTGTTTTACTTTTAATTCTGCAATCAGAGGAGTTAATATAGGTTGAAGGGATCATCCCCTCTATTAGGTCTTGGCAAAGAGCTGAAGAAAATATTGGGACGATCAGGGCTTATTTCAATATGTTTTGGATTGATCAATGCGAGACTGGTTGTAATATCCTTTTTCATCTGCAATGTGGCAGTTGCTGTCATTGCCAAAAATGTGATCTTGGGAAAAATACTTGTCAGCATACCAATTTTCCCATAACAAGGTACAAAACTTTTCCTAAACAAGAAAAAGACATGTCAATGATTAACAAGTCCAGCGGCAATGCACTATCATCATGCTTCCTACTCTTTTACCCATTGAGTAAGCCAGCACTCATTACTTGATGAGTAAAATTGTCTTACATTATTAGACCACTTAAAGGGTTAACACCAAATATTTTACTCAAATAATTATGATCATCATGTATTCTCCACTCTCCAGTACTATCCCCTCCGACCCCATGACTATAGTGCCATATGAGTAAAATCATATGGCATTAGAGATCATTAGACAGAATAAAATAACAGAGTAAGGTGCAATGCAATTTAATTGGTTAATAAATATATTGATGGTATAATTATTACTTATTAGTCTTACTTATTAGTCGATTGGTCTCCTCAGGAGACATCCTGTTTTGTGGACCCTCAACAACCAATGTTTTCCAATGGTGGTTGAGGGTGCACATAACAGGAAGTCTCATGAGGAGACCAGTCAATATCATACCAACTCACAGTTCTCAACCAGAAAACAATGTAAACAACATAATGACATGCACATGTGTGATTATTTGTTATTCACCCCTAGACACAATCTCGTTTCCCGAGCCTGCAATCCTCACAAAGGAATGTGGGGCTCTGGGAAAATACATTGCCGGAAGGCAGGAATCCTGGCTAAGACCGAACTGCGCATTCCATATCAACAGCCAATCAGATTCCTCCCTGAAACAGATTATCCCAGAGCCTCTCATTCCTTCCCGAGGATCGCAGGCTTGGGGAACAAGATTGCCCTGGATAATGTGTTATCTCCCTGCCGAGCATCTGTGGAGTCTCTTCAAGGGTTCCCTGCTGGCTCCGGTGCTCTAGGGACCTCTGCTCGCAGGGAACTCCGAGGGAGACAGCTTAATTTCTTGACTCTCACTTGACTTACTGTAATCTCGACCAATAAAAATATAGGAAAAGTGAAATTTGAAACTTGCTATATAATCATAATAGTTCAGGCTCAGTCTGAATGTTTTTTTTTACATGTTTTGCACCTCAACCATATTATAATTTAACACTCAGTATCGTATATTAAAATAAAATTCTTACCATTCTTCCACTAGATGTGCTTCGTCAATCACAATAGCTTTAACAGAATCTTGATATGATTTTGACTTCAAAATATTTTGAAAAAATTTCTTATCTTCCGATAAGGCTTCTGGGTGAGCAATACTATCTGACTTGGATGAGCAATCTGATTGATAAATAGAGCCCCTCTCCAACCGCATGCTGTGCTTTGGTAACGTTGTTTCCCTGCTGGCCTTCAAAGTTCAAAACACTAACATCCATGTGCTTTTTCAGTTTTGTAATCTGATCGACCATTAAGGCGTTTAATGGCGAAATAACAATTAATGAGTTACCAGTAGAATTCGTATTTTCACGACATGAGTGCATGACTTTCCATGGCCAGTAGGCAAGACGCAAAAATATGTGTCCTTCCGATCATTCAACAACTACAGCCTTCACTGCTTCGTACTGACATTCCTTTAGCTCAATATTTTGCTTTCATACCTAGTTGCTGTATAAACGCTTTCTCCAATTTGCTATTAAATAAAGTAATACTTTCTGCAGACATTCTATTTTTTTATATATTTCGAAACCAAAACAATATAAAACAATACTATATGACACACGCATGCGCAGTTCGGTCTTAGCCAGGATTCCTGGCTTCCGGCAACGGATTATCCCAGAGCCTTCGGTTCCTTCCCAAGGACCGCAGGCTCAGGGAACGAGATTGACGATCCTTTTACTGTATATACTAAAATACCCACTGTGAATAACAAATTCACCACAAATTCACCGTCTCCGCTTTTTTGTAACACTTTTGAGAGGTATACGGTCTAATGCCATGTGGCCATATAATATTATTCGGTTTATTTTACTATAAAGACTCGCTAATTTTTGTTTTGAAATTGACACATTCTGTCGCAATTTCCATCGCTCAAATGTTCGGTTGAACACGCCCAAATCATCATCAGTAAATACGTGTCCTATTAAATTAAAAATAAATACGTGTCCTATTCGCTAACGTTTGATTGACATGTGACAGTTAAAACAGTAAAAGCCATAGAAGTGTTCCAGAGGTTCTTCCCGCTCGTCGCCTCCTAGCTTGAATCCTCGTGTATCCCTCATTATCCCCCCCCCCCTACGAGCGTGGAAGAACCTCTGGCACCCAGGGTATTAGGACCGTAAAACGGCCCCAAAAACTCAATCTTGAATTGAGTTTTGAAACTCACTCTTCCCACTAAAAGATTCAGTGCAGTAAAAATGAAGTTGTTTGAGTTAAATTCGTGACGTGTGGAAATTAGTTTCAGTTGGAAACCCGACAATCAGGAAAAATGGCTGGAATTCATTTCACAACACAAGAAAAACAACGCATTCGCCATCTTTAACCAGTTTATAGTGTCTGCTTTAACACATTGCGTCTCAACTACACTTATTGGGTACAGGAGTCAGCCTGTCACAGCTGCTCCAGTCCCCAGCTGTTCAGCTAAACTCAATCTTCTCTGCAAAAACGGACCCAAGAGAAAATCCTGAAAAACCCTGACAACCGACTTAATTACGTGGTTAAAGTTAAACACTACTTAACTACAAAACGGATAGTTAAAAAGTATTTTTCCATTTTTCTGTAATTTCCATTTACAACCGATACAACTCCAGAAATATCTCTATCCCGCTATTCCCGGCTTCGCCCCGGTAGGAGGGGGGAGGTCCTTTTCATATAGTAGTACATGTATGCTTACCCATCCTGTGGCACTGTGGGTTATATAACAGGAGGAAGTGTGGCTGATGTTTTTATCACTACGAGAACTAAAATGATAATCCAAACAACGTGTGCTCTTTATTCGAGATATCACGTCCGTATTGTAGACCAATAACCCCCAATGTACTGGCCAAGTAAGACGGTAACTCCACACTGGAAGAGAATAAAATGCATAATCAGATCATGATAATGATAAGAAAATTAAACGATGCCAGTCACCCAGAACACTATTAACACGCTGTCGGATAAATCCTTGTAAATATTAAATACTTTATGTTATGGTTTATATTACTTTTAAACATGGTTGTAAATTGATATCTTAGTTAGACTATAATGCGTTGTCTACGCTCAAACAATAGACAATAAACTTCCGGACGGCGGAAAATATTGACGCTTGAGATTGTAAGAGAGTGGGTTTTAGAGTTTATCAAGAAAGGTTGTGTTTGTAAGATTGTACGGGTTTAAGAATTGGAGACGTTATGATTGTTTTATTTTAATAAATTTGTAACAGGAATTGTCTGCGCGTTTTATTTGGTTGTACGGTGATAGTATACAGTCCCAGCCTCGTACCCAGGCGCAATTAACTAAAAATAGGCACACTACAGTACTTTTATATAGATCAGTGGCTAAGATGAGCGAGCGCGCGGGGGTGCTTGGGGAGGACGCAACTGGAACCGGAGGCGCCTGGGAGAATTTGTTCGATAAGTCACAAGAAATTGTCGATTTCTCAAATTTAGTTTAGAAATGTAGTTTTTAAGCGTTTTTGTGCATTTTGTGCCCAATTTCCGTGACAATATGGACCAGACGGAGTAAAGACAGCCACATGAAGGTAATCTTTTTCTTTAAACATACTTAATAGGCGCTTTTTAACCTTTATTTGAATTAATATACTGACTGACAGACTAAGTCTGTTATTTGAGTCATTTTTAATATGATATACCTGTGTTATAATAGAATTGATATTATAAACGAAAGAATTTTAGTTAAATATTATTTACATTATTTTATATGATGTAAATAGCGATATATATTGTTATATAAATCTGTTCAGTGTTGAATGCTGTTATATTTGTCTCTTTGGACTTTGGTTCATGCAATAACAACAATGTCAAAGCTAATTTTATATAAATTGCAATAGCAGCAAATTGCCACAACAAAATATTTGCTGTATTACCTGTATGCGTTTTTAAAACACCTATTAAATCTTCTTTTGATAGCATCAGTAAGTTCTGATGATATATTTAATACATCCTTTTCCCAACTTGATTTTGAAGAAGGTATTGTCTACTTATGTAGTTTAAGTTCCTAAGTCAGCAGACATTTGAATGCATCATGCATCACATTTTTGGTGATCTGAAGCATTATAATATAGTAAATTTATGAATTAATGAGTAATAGAAATGTTGTTAATTTATTATGTTGTTAGATAGTGATGTCCCCATTGCCACTGAAGCAGATTATGAGATGGAAAACTATGGCGAGATTGAAAAATCTAGCAGTTTATCAAGTGGTCTTGAACTGACAATTGCACCACGAAACTCGGTGGTGCAATCAGCACACCACCATAGCCCTAGTAGGGGAGAGTGAAACTTAATGGGCAAAGTTGTTAATTTGCAAAGTTTAATCTGCCTAGCTTGTTTAGACGTTAAGATGTGGATGAATGTATAAATAAAGGCCCACAAGAGTATTAAATTGCATAAATATTGCCATACAGCCATAGCTCTAGATCTTTTTGAATGTAAATACTAGTAGTTTATATTATGAGCAAAATAAATAAAATTCTCAACATTTTAAGTTAAATGTTCCAGGGAGTTGTTTGCATAGTATGTTGATGAGGTATATCTCATTTAGTCAAGTTGTGTAAAACATTCATGAGGATTTAGGAGCAAGCACAGAGACAACTGGGATGGGTCTTGTGTTTACACTACAAACCTACACCTGTCCAAGCTGTTTACTGGGACTTACCTTGAGTGACCTGAGAAAGATTTCAGGTAAAGCATTTGTGTGTATAAACTTGTTTGGATTGTTTAATCCCAAGACCAATTTCCATGGCAACATGGTAAATCATGTGTGTATATGTATGGTACATGTATGGGTGTATTTTTGTGTGTTTATACACCATACTTTGCCGGGCTGATTTTAGATTTTGCTAACTGTTGACAAATATTTTCAGTGAGACCATCAAATGTTTGCCACATATTTTTCAAATGTCATTGATTTTTAAATATCAATACTATCTGTACTGTAATCAGCCCAACAAATTGCAATGTGCAACCATGCCTTTAAATCCAGAGTATACCCCATTCCTTAGTGTAAACATAGTAGATTTTGGCAATCAAGGGCAATAGCCTTCATAGTTCAAAACTCAAAAGTAAGGTGAATCACAAACATCAACAGGTGAACCATGCATGAGATGAGATTAGTTTGGTCTGGTTTGTGCTTTATATAATTTAATATTGTCAGCCAGTTACAACAATAGAGCTCTAAAATTTATGTTTTTATCTTCACCATATTTTTCATACTAAAAAGCACTCATGCATGTTAATTTATATTCCTTCTATTGGCAAAATTTTAGAAACCTACAATCATTAAATATTTTCCAGTTAAGTTTCTCCTCTGAGGTAAAATGTTAAATGTATCATCAGTACAAATAAATAGTAGTTTCAACATTCCATATTTATAAAATTCAATGTATTATTAAAATATCAAGAATATAAAGTTATAAACTTGGCCAGTTTCTTTGACTTTGGCTTTGTTGTCAGAATACTTTTCTTTCAAACTGCAAAAAGGCAGTACATTTCATGATGTGCATCCAATACCAGATATATATTTTCAACCATTTGATATAAACCATGACCAGGAGACTTTCTATTATAAAATTTCGAGAGGTCCTGAGGAAACTCGCCAGCTAAAATGATAAATATATAATACCGTTTTCGAGGAAAAATAATTATTATCAACGCAGTGATCATTTGGACATAAAATCTTTCCCAAATGTCACGCTCGATGGGCAGGCCTTTCAATTTCATTGAGTATAGTACAGCAATTTCCTCATTTGCATCCTCATGTCCGCCATGTTTGTTCTGCCAGGCGCTTCGCTTCCTGCAACCTCCCCAAGCACCCCCGCGCGCTCGAGCCACTGATCTATGTAAAAACACTGTAGTGTGCCCATTTTTAGCGCCTGGGTACGAGGCTGGGGCAGTTGCATTTCACAGCGGGCAGTTGCGTTTCAGAGCGGACCGGATGCAAAAACCGGCCCGCTCTGAAAGGCTCTCAGCCAATCAGATTGCTTCATTTTCACTGATAAAAAATAATGACTTTTATTGTAGAATAAAAACATTTCCTACCAAATTCAGAAAAATTTGATGAAACATATACATATGACAAATATCTTTGCGCAACAATGTTTCCCAGTTTGTCCCAAGCTTTAAGGGATATTTATATAAACTCCTAGAAAAACCTCTGATTGCATGAATCATTAATGGGGGGGGGTGAATAGGTTCACAGAAAAAATTGTTCGGATTTCGGATCTGGCGAATATTTTACACGGATTTGGGGATCTTATTAATACAGCGGATTGCGTATTTATCTGATATTTTGGCTCGGATTGTGGATTTAGCTTGCAATTTAGTTCGGATCCTGGATTGTGACTGCATAGTAGAGTTTTTAGCGGATTCAAATTTAGACAAGATCATTGTCGGATCGCGGATTTTGCTTCAAATTTGGGCGGATTGGCGGATTTGTATGCCCTATTCACCCCCCCCCATTAATGTATTGAAAAACTAAGCAAGATATGTTTGGCGCTTATTGTAAATTGTGCGTTTTATCCATCGTTTTTAAAAGTATATTCTATGGATACCAATCTTGGATTTAGACCAACTTTCCATTCGTTCCAACCATCTTTTCCAACAGACGAAACCGGACTGCACCAGTGAAGGACGTTTAACTGTGAAAGAAACATCTCCCAGGCACCAACTCGAATTGCATCGTGAAAATAGATAAATTGGGAGGAAATATAAAATCCATAATTTCATCATAACTATCTATAACTGGAAGAAATGTTTTCATCCTTGAGCCCAGGTTTTTATCAATGCAATAAAATCCCACTTATTGGATACTGGCCAAGGGCCGCTCAAGACGCATGTATTCTACAATAAGATGTCTTGGTTTTTGTCTGGTAAAGTTCTACTATATATATTATAGTGTGACATAAGTTGGTATTTAGCCACTCTACACACATCTAGAATAACAAGGAATGATTCAACCTGGTTTTTCGTGCCCACACTAGTTGACTTTTTCTTATAGATTTGCTACTGCGCCAGGGTGGGTACTGCCAGCCTTCTCCATGAGCGTGCGTTTCAGCTTCTCAACCATGACTGTCTATGAGAGGGATATACGTGTTTATAATGTAAGTACTGTGGGTCCGAATGAATATCGAATGAGTAAATAAATACTGATCTACTGCACTGCGCAGATAATACCTACGTGCATTACCATCATTGTTCTTCAAATATGCCATCTAACCTGTGTCATCGCCATCAATTTCGAATAATAGGCCATCACTATTGTCATCATCTGACAAATCGTTCTCGTCTATATTCTGGTCCGGAGAATAGTTGTACAATCGCAAGAGGAACAAAGAGAATGCTTTTTCACAGGCACAACGTTTTGTTGACGTTCTTTTAGTTCATACAAATCGATCAGATCATACAACATATCAATGCCGCATATCAAAAAGTGCACTCCAACCAGCTATGTCACCCCCTTAGATCAGCGAATTGGGAAGTAAATCAAGGGCAAGTCAATCTCAGATGGATGACCATGCCGGCAGCTCCTGGTGGAATTCTGGAAACGTTAATTGTGGTTGTAAGTCTGGATGTTCAACAACCTCGTACTCAGGGTTCTCTTTGTGCTGGCCCTGGTAAAAGCCTGGTTGAATCGTTCCTTGTTATTCTAGATAGTAGCTAGATACCAACTTATGTCACAATATAGTATATAGTAAACCTTTACCAGACAAAAGCCAGGACAGTTTATTGTAGAATACATGCAATCTCGTTTTGGACGTAGGCACTTGGCCAGGATCCAATAAGTGGGATTTTATTGCACTGATGAAAATCTGGGCTCAAGGATGAAAACATTTCTTCCAGTTATAGATAGTTATGATGAAATTACTGGTATGGATTTTATATTTCCTCCCAATTTATCTTTTTTCATGATGAATTTCGAGTTGGTGCCTGGGAGATGTTTCTTTCACAGTTAAACGTCCTTCACTGGCGCAGTCCGGTTTCGTCGGTTGGAAAAGATGGTTGGAACGAATGGAAAGTTGGTCCAAATCCAAGATTGGTATCTATAGAATATACTTAAGCCAGTTAAGCGATTGATAGAATGCACAATTTAAGCAGCGCCAAACATATCTTGCGCATAGTTGATAGTTATTCAATAATTCATTAAAGATTCAGTCAGAGGTTTTTCTAGGAGTTTATATAAATATCCCTTAAAACCCGGGACAAACTCGGAAACATTGTTGCGCAAAGATATTTGTCATATGTATATTTGTCTTGCTAATGTTTAATTTCGGTATGTCATATTGTCTTACCAGCATCAGCAAACGGGGAAAGAGTGTTTGGTCAAATGTTTCTGAATTTGGTAGGAAATATTTTTGGTTTCCGGGAAGCAACTTTTGTTTTTGCAATAAAAGCCAATGTTTCCAGATATGGGAGACAGGGAAACATTTGAGCAAACATTGAAAATCCCGAATGTTTTCCAGGGACGTGCTGGCTAGGGACGAGCCGCGATGAGAACTTATTGTGGGCTCCTGCCATCATGGGCCCCTAAAATTAAAACATTGGAAGAGATAAAAAGTATAGATTTTAATTTTGAAAATCGCGATTAAGATATTACAATTTATATTTTAAAAATCTAAATTTACGAAAATATTACCGAAAAATTTAACAAATTACGGTACCGTACTCGAAAGTCACTGAAAAATGGTATGTCCGGAAACTTTTTTAAGCTCGCCAACAAGTTTAGGGAAAAATTAATAAGCGGCTGGTGTTTGATCAGTAACACCACCACTCCAATCTTGATCCATCCGTCACTGGGTCTGGGCCCCACCAGACGTTGCCCATTCGTCGTCCTTTCAAGATCCCAGCACGTACCTGATATTTCCGCGACAATGTTTCTTACGTTTGGCCAAGGCTTTAGTTTAGCAAAGTATTTGTTGCTTGATCGTATGAATTGTATGTTTATTTGTATATCCTCCGTCTTGTTTGTCTGTCTATGTTTGATACAGGTGGGTTTTACCTCACACAAATTTGTATTGAATTAGGATGTTAATAAGTAGAATTAAACGTTATACCGGTATTTTGAAACAATGGCCAATGATTTGAAGTGATTCAGCATATGAGCAAGCAAAATGTACAAGAAGGTATTTTAAACAATATTTAATTTGTTTATTCGTTAATATTACAAGATTTGATCTCTACTCCGTGATTTTATTTTGTTGTTTTTACGAGGGAAACGGGAAAAACCCACAGGGTGAATAATGGTGAATAATTTCGAAATTGTAGGTTGCTTTTATGCTATCGAAAGAATGTGCGGAATGCGTGTAGGCGAAACAATGCTTAGGTGAAACAATGCATGCTTGGGTCATTAGGTTTTGTTAACGACCTTGTTTACTCGAAACCGGTTTTTGTGACGACATTTGCCGAAAATTTCGCTTCTTTTATTGAGGTAAATTGTCTTTGTTTATGTCTTTCAAAATGCAAAATTTTTCTTCCAAACATAAATTGCAGCGTTTTGATCCCCCTGTGTACGAAATAGCGAGTTTTAAAATTGACCATTTGATGGTATAATCCTGATTGTTTTCTTTTAATTTCCAAATATGTTTCGAAAGTTCCGTTTTGTTTGAGTCTTTTTTATGACGAAAAGATGAAATGTGGTTAGCGTAACGTTCCTTAAATGTAGTCGCTGTCATACCAATGTAGTGTTTAGTGTCGTTCGTATTGTTCGTTGTGACTGTGGCTTTGTAAATAATGTTGTTGGTCATACATTGTTTCGGTAGTGGGCAAGTGTTTTTGTTGTCGCAGTTACAGTTGTACGAATAGAACATGGAAACTGACAACTGTAACTGCGACAACAAAAACACTTGCCCACTACCGAAACAATGTATGACCAACAACATTATTTACAAAGCCACAGTCACAACGAACAATACGAACGACACTAAACACTA